ACCAAAGCACTTTTTCTGGGTTTGCAATCGCACGGGTCACATGACTCACACAGCAGTGCAGACCTGGGAGATGGCGTCCCGATTTTGGGCCATGTTGCGTTGGAGGGTATTTGCCACCTGCAAGGCAGGAGGGAGAGTCAGGGCAGTCCTAGGTGGCAGGGCAGGGTTCCACTATTGCCATAGTTGTGCCATTGGGCTTAGACATCTGGACAGCTGCCTAGAGGCTAGAAGGCTCTGTGTTTATCCAGAGCACCATGGAAGCTGCTGTAAGCATTTCTTTTGCCAGTAAAGGGTTAACTGTCAGACGTGTGCCTTCCTTATCTGGGATGGGATCGACACTTGGAGAACATGGCTCTGTGGGCCAGATAAATTTGGCCCCTGGGATGAATGTGATTCCCCCTGCCTGTTTTTACAGGACAAAGATGGGATGTGTTTACTAAATGACTTTGAAATTGGCCTTTGTGGGTTTTTAAAAATTTATTTAACATGTTTTTTTCTGTTATTGTTTTTAATATAAATTTGGGCTTTGTTCGTTTAATAATTAGATAGCATGTCGACTTGTTGGATGTGCTCAGTTTTTAAGTTTGCACAGAGAGCGCTTGGAATCGGGCATGGCAGAACTATAACGAAAGAGCGTGTGGCGAACTGAAAAAAATACCCGTAGCATGTTCTAAAACAGCAAGGAATTTGAATGAGTTCTTGGTGCAATGGAAAAGGCCTCCTCTGAGTTATCCTGGGAGACTTGGCGTATCTCTGTGGACACCCAAGACATTCCATCTGCACTCCCATGCGCTGCTGCTGTGTGCATGCGCCGCAGCGCACGGAGTCGTGCGGGCCTGCCGGTCTCTGCTTGTTGCCTGCCAGACAGATGTTATTCTTTTAATTAAGGGCACTGGTGGTAATAAAATCCCCATAGAATCCATGAAGGATTCATAGCCTTAAGCTCTGCTCGGGTTTACGCAGGAGTGTGCGATGCAGTCGAGGGGAACTGATGCTAAATCAAGTCGGGAGACATATGGACCCGGTTAAAGACCAGTCCCATTCCTCTCTTCCTCACATCATACTTTTGCCTTGGGTTAATTACTCATCTCTCGGCCTTGCAACATATTTTTTCCCCAGCTGCTACCTCCGAGGCTGTTTCTCTGGGCCCAGGGAGAAGGAAAACGGATGGCGCGAGAGGCCAGCGCCACATTCTCTAGATAAGCTTGCAGGGATTTATCACCATATAACACCGTTCCTGAGAGACCTGCATTGGCTCCCAGTACATTTCTGAGCACAATTCAAAGGGTTGGCACTGACCTTTAAAGCCCTAAATGGCCTTGGTCCAGTATACCTAAAGGAGCGTGTTCTCCCCCATTGTTCAGCCCGGAAACTGAGGTCCAGCGCCGAGGGCCTTCTGGCGGTTCCCTCACTGCGAGAAGCCAAGTTACAGCAAACCAGGCAGAGGGCCTTCTCGATAGTGGCGCCCGCCCTGTGGAACGCCCTCCCACCAGATGTCAAAGAGAACAACAACTACCAGACTTTTAGAAGACATCTGAAGGCAGCCCTGTTTAGGGAAGCTTTTAATGTTTAATGCTGTATTGTGTTTTTAATATTCGGTTGTGAGCCTCTCAGAGTGGCTTGGGAAACTCAGCCAGATGGGCGGGGTATAAATAATAAATTATTATAAATTATTATTATCCTTAGCACCTTCTTTGGACCATAGAACACTTCCACACCATGCCTCATGCTTCCCCCCATCTTCTCACCTCCCCCAAAGATGATATTTAGATCATAAACTCCCTGAGGCTAGGACTAGTACTTGAACTGAACTCCATCAGCAGACATTAGCAGGGGAACATTTCTCCCTCCATATAACTATGCTATGGACCCCAGCTCCCATCAGCCTTGACCACTGGGCATGCTGCCTGATGCTGATGGGAGTTGGAGTCCAGAAGTTCTTGGGAGCTAACAGGTTCCCCATCACTGTTGCAAAGGACCATGTACATTGATGGCACTGTATAAATAACTCATCGTTTATTTTATAATATGTATAAATTGGTTTTTATTATTAAAATAGCCAGTGTGGTTTATAATTTGATCTATCTAGCAAGCAAGCTCGCTAGCTCAGTTGGTTAGAGCTTGGTCCTGATTATGCCAAAGTTGCAGGTTCATTCCCCATATGGGACAGTTGCATATTTCTTTTCTTTTCTTTTGGAAATAATATTTATTGATTTTACAAAATGACTCTCACCTTTAAATTTTGAAATCAAACAAGATTCTTCCAAATCTTAGGACTGTCCTCCTCCCCTCCATGGGTCCTTTATAAATCAACTGCATATTATAGTTCTTCCACATTATGGTCCTCCAAAATATCCAAAGTCTTTGTAACATTGCAGGAGTTACTTAAAGCCTGCCAAAGAGCTCAAGTGACTGCAGTGTTCTTTTAAGTACAGTCTGTATTTGTCCCGTTCCCTATTGAAGTTTTCATCCCCCTGATTTCTGATTTTCCCTGTCAGTCTTGCCATCTCTGCATGCTCTAATAATTTCATCTCCCGGTTCACTTTTGTGGGCATTTTCGCCTCTTTCCATCGCTGGGCAAGGCATATTCCTGCCTTGCAGGGGGTTGAACTAGAATCAGTGTCCCTTCCAAGCCTGCAATTCTGTGACTCCAGATAGATATAGATATAGATATAGATACAGATATATAGATATAGATATAGATGATATAGATGATAGAGATAGAGATAGAGATAGAGATAGAGATAGAGATAGAGATAGAGATATCTAATGCTCTCAATAAAAAAGTACAACAAAGTCCACATTAATATCAGGAAATGCAGGCTAACATCACATAAAATTAAGACTAACACGCCAGAAAAAGGAGCAAGCATCAGTTGCTCAACAATTGCTTCTGAGAATAAATGGGTCTTAAATTATGGCATCGGACCATGTAAAAGAGGAGGAGTACCAGTAGCTCTCAATATCTTGTTGGACACCTGGTTCCTATCAGCCCCAACCAAAAAGGTCAGCAGTGATAGAAGTTGGAGTCCAACAACATCTGGTTGTTCACAGTTCTCTATCCTTGCTCTGAATATTGGTGCCTGCCAAAACTTTCCAGGGAGAATGCTCTGTAAACCAGGTGCCACCTCCGAAAAGCCGTCTCCCCATTGCCTAGCTCATGGGTAGGCAAAGTAAGGCCTGGGGGGGGGTGGATCCGGCCCAATCGCCTTCTAAATCTGGCCCATGGAAGGTCCGGGAATCAGCGTGTTTTTACATGAGCAGAATGTGTGCTTTTATTTAAAATGCATCTCTGGGTTATTTGTGGAGCATAGGAATTCATTCATTATTTTTTTCAAAGTATAGTCCGGCCCCCCACAAGGTCTGAGGGACAGTGGGCCGGCCCCCTGCTGAAAAAGTTTGCCAACCCTGCTAGCTGCTTAACCTCTGAAGATGGGAGCATCCAGTGGGAGGACATCAAAGGAGATCAGAAATTTAGATCAGATTTGCGAGGAGGAAGGCAGTCCTTTGTGTACCCAGTTCCCGAGGATTCCTGCATTGCAGGGGGTTGGACTAGATGTCCCTTGGGATCTCTTCCAACTCTACAGTTCTGTGATTCTTTATGCGTGCACCGGTCTCATCAAAATGCTCTTTCTGTGCATGAGGAAAATGAGTGCAGCAAACTCTACAGAGCATAGTTCTCTGGAAAGTGCACTTAACATCCATGGAAACCATGCTGGGGGGAAACCGGCGGGGTTGAGATGCTGTTCGCAAGGCCCCCGCCAATTGTCAGCTAATTGTGTTTGGTTTGCTCAAAGATAAATTGCGGTGTAACTCGGCATTCGCCGTAATGTAATGTGCAGAAATCACAGGGTACGTTTGGCCCTGCAATTGCATGCCGATTAGTAGACACAGAGCCTTGCCTCTGCCTGAGGCTTGGAGCTTTGGGTTTCTCCAAGCTATACTTCCAGAGAATATTAGCTTTCGTTTTTAAATAATAATAATAATAATAAATGAATAAAGTTTCCGATCATCATGGATGAGAAGACAAGCTATAGGCAGGAAAGCCTGATCAAATATCGAAAGGCAGAATGCTGGCTGAAGGACACAATTGGTGGTCAGGAACCTGGGCATCAATGCCCTTCAAAACACATAGTTCCTCTCCACGTCAAGCAAAATTAAGGAGTGGAGAGCCAATCCGTACTAATTTTCAAAAGATCTGCAGTGAACTGTGGTCATCCGAAAGCCCCAGTGTTACTGTACCCACTAGTCCCCATTGTTGTTGTTGTTGTTTAGTCGTGTCCGACTCTTCATGACCCCATGGACCAGAGCACGCCAGGCACTCCTGTCTTCCACTGCCTCCTGCAGTTTGGTCAAACTCATGTTCGTAGCTTCGAGAACACTGTCCAACCATCTCGTCATCTGCTGTCCCCTTCTCCTTGTGCCCTCCATCTTTCCCAACATCAGGGTCTTTTCCAGGGGAGTCTTCTCTTCTCATGAGGTGTCCAAAGTATTGGAGCCTCAGCTTCAGGATCTGTCCTTCCAGTGAGCACTAAGGGCTGATTTCCTTCAGAATGGATAGGTTTGATCTTCTTGCAGTCCATGGGCCTCTCAAGAGTCTCCTCTAGCACCATAATTCAAAAGCATCCATTCTTCAGCGATCAGCCTTCTTTATGGTCCAGCTCTCACTTCCATACATCACTACTGGGGAAACCATGGCTTGAACTATACGGACCTTTGTTGGCAAGCTGATGTCCCCATTAGTAACATTCAAAGAGAATTTGGGGGGGAAGGGGTCCCTTTAGAAGTGAACACCTGAGGAATGTCAAGGGAAAGCGGGCAAGATGAAGTGATAAAAATCCTCATGCCATTTCCATGTGTGTGTTAGAATCCCATCCCTCCCATGGCATTGAGGGAGATATGTGCAACAATTGCCACCACAGTTTCCAGTAGCCAGAGCAGCAGGTGTGATTTCTCTCCTTTCTTTCTCTCCCTCCATACTTCCCTTCCCCTACTTTTAGTACACTTACGACGGGACGGAGATTAACAGCTTGCCAGTGGAGCTGACAGTCGTGTGGAATGGGGATTTCAACATTGACAACCCGGCGCAGAACAAAGGTAACGAATCATTTCGACTTGTCCTTGGAAGTGGTAACCTTAGCAACCGGCTGCATCACTCTGCACACTTCCTAACAAAGCACTCGACGCTTCCCGTCTGCTACAAGGCTTTATTTATGTTCTCTGCAAATTGCTAAAAAAAAAAAAATTGTTCTGTTTTTCTTCCCCTCTCTCTTTCTTGTTGAGCACCTGAAACAAATAAAGCTCCGCCTGCCCCCCCCCCCCTTGAGCATTTTAAAGCCAAACTTTCTATTCTCCAAATCCTCTTGACTTGAGTAGCTCATTTCAGTGATTGTTGCCAGCAGCTTAGTTTGGATCTGCCCAAGTTTTTTCTTCTTCTGCTGAAGCAGTTTGCAACTTCTTTTTTAAATACGACTCCAAATAATAACAAATAAGGCTCGGTCGCATTGCCCTCTTTCTGATTTCACACACTCCTTTCCTGGAGGCAGAAAATTGGGTTTGTGGGATTTTGCGGGAGGCGGGAAGGCAAAATTTGGGGGGGTGTAGTGGCACACAGTTGGCAGCTGCTCTAAGGAGCCCTCTAGGTACAGTGAGTTCAGTCCTGCACCCTAATTTTTGCCCCCCAAAATCACCACCCAGTTTCACCAGGAAATCCTACAGTTCCATGATTCTTTGCACTGAGAAACTGGTACTTTCAACTGGTAATGGAAAGTGAATAGGGAGGAAGCCTTATGCACATATTCGGTCAGAGAGTCCTCGCCTGTATCAGTGATGAGGTATAGATTTAAGTTCTCAGAATCGATTTCCTAGCTGCTGCCGTCTTCATACCTTCCATAGATAAGCTATGGAATTTGTGGACACAAGAACTTTGGAAGAGCAGACAAATTCATATAAGGCTGTCAGTGGCTACGAGTCATAATAGAAACCTTCCACCTTCAGTATCAAGGGTGCTTCTTAATACCAGTCAGTGGTGTAGCATGGGTTGCCAATGCCTGGGGCAAGGCAAATATCCTTAGCACCACCCACCAATAGTGTGGAACAAAGGCGCAATAGCTTACGACCTAACCTGAGTGGCAGCCGCAGCACCCAGTGAGCATCCAGCAATCAAGGACTGCGGAAAACAGGATGGAGGATTGGTCAGGAGCAGGTACCTTTATAAAGCCCATGTGGCGGTCACCCTAGCAACCAGCCATTGCCCATATCCACTCTTCAGTCCACCCATACAGTCATTTGGAGATTTTCTGAATGAGGGGATGGTGCATTATTTTAAAATATATTTTTACTACTTATGTTAATTTTCTTTTGAAATCTTGCACCCCAAAGAATTTTGCTCCCAGGGCAAGTGCCCCGTGGCCCCACCCATGCTATGCCACTGATGCCAGTTCTTGGGAAGCACCAGTGGGTGAGCGTCCTGCCTGTGGGTTGTCCCCAGCCATCTGGTTGCCCCCTAGTGGGAAACAGGACTCTTGACTAGATAAACCTTCCGGTCCGATCTAGCGGGACTCTTGCTGCATTGTTTGACTTGACCGCAGAAGGCTTATTGGCTGCTGCTCCTTTGCCGCAGTTCTGCAGATCGAAGCACCTGAGAGGGCATATATGGGGTAAAGCGATCTTGTGGGTGACTGCTTCCTCAACAGGCTTGTGCTTTCCTCTCCCAACAGTCCACCTGTACAAATGTGGGGCCATGCGAGACAGCTGCGGCCTCTGCCTGAAAGCAGACCCGGACTACGAGTGTGGCTGGTGTGAAGACCAGAACCGGTGCACCTTGAAGCACCATTGCCCCATCCTGGAGAACCGGTGGCTGGAGCTCTCTGGCGCTGGGGGCAAATGCACCAACCCCAAGATCACAGAAGTAAGTCGTTCTGAAACTCCCTCTTCCATTCCCCATACCCTCGTTTTCTGTAGCCTGTCTAGCTGTGAAGACCTACAATCAGTGGCGTAGCATGGGGAGGGGGTCACGGGGCAGTCTCCCTGGGTGCTAAGTTGTTAGGGGGCATAAAATTACAACCCCTGATGCTGCCTCGATACAGCTGTGTGCTTCCATTGCTGTGCTCTATTGAAAACGGCTTCTCTGTGCAAACCAGGAAGTGACCTCTCCAGGCAATGGAACGACTCTTCTTTCCTTATCTCTATGGCTGCAATCTTTTGGGTGACCCGCAACCCTTGCTATGCCACTGGCTATGATGGATGAGTAATAATCCACCAAATAGGATTCTCCTTCAGCCTTGCCACTCAACTGGAGATACCAAGGACTGGGCCTGGGCTGTTCTGTATCTGAAACAGGAGCTTTGCTATTGAGCTATGGAGTTTGCCCCCCTCCTCCCAGATTCAGCTTTTCTGCACAGGCAGCTTCCTGAGGTGTGGTCCTGCTCTTCAATAGTGACTTACTGTCATCTGGCTCATGCAGGGTGTCCTAAGGAACAAGGCTAGTATAAGAATGGCCCTTCTGCTTCCTTCTGGTTCTCTGATCCCAAGAACGATGGCCCTGCTTAGAAGTCTCTTGGGCTGTGCACAATTCCTTCTCAGATGCTGTAACTCAAGAAGGATGGTTCCTCGCAGCTGTGAAAGTGAGCCCAGGAGACCGTGGTTTAACTGGAGCTGCTGTGCCAAACAGCTAGATCAAAGCGCTGCCTTATATCATCCCTGCTCCCATGTCGCATGCAGTCCTCACCAGAGAGGATGCAGAAGTTCACAGGTTTCAAGAAGATTTGCCTTGGAAGCAGGAATGTCTCCAAAGAACCTCTTTGAAGAATTGCCCAGACGTTGGAGGGGGGAAGCAGGATCTTGGAGTGTGATTTATTATTATTATTATTTCCAGATAAAATTAGCAATTTGTTTTTCTTGAAATGCATCGCCACCAGGCGCCTAACAAGACATTGTTCTCCATTCTGCCCTGAGTCTGTAATCTGCAGCGCTCTTTCCATTCCACTGCAGTTCGCCATCTGCCCCAAACTATGCTACATGTGGTGGAATTCTGTAACCTAACTTACACAATTTTGTGAACTGTGTAACCTAATTTACACAATTAATTTTGTGAATTATCCCATTTAATTCAAAAGAAATGCAATTCAAATAGGGGAGGCTGAAAGCTGCAACCAAAGATAGCACCCACCATATTTATTGGGTTGATTTTTGTTCTGGACAGGAGTTGAATGAGCCAACATTGACAATTTCTGCTCCTGTTTTCTGACATCCCTAATCAGCCCAGAATGATAAACAGTCATACCTCGAGTTACAGACGCTTCAGGTTTTGTGTTGTCGGGTTACAGACCCGCCAAAACCTGGAAGTACCAGAACGGGTTACTTCTGGGTTTCGGGGGTTGCGCATATGCAGAAGCGCAAAATCGCGCTTTGCGCATGCACAGAAGCACTGAATTGCAACCCACGTGTGCGCAGATGCACCGCTGCGGGTTGCAAACGTGGATCTCACACAGATCACGTTCGCAACCCAAGCGTCCACTGTACAGTTGAAATCCCTGGTTAGACAAGTTTCCCAGGCTTTTCAAACATATAAAAACCTACAAAGCCCTTTTGAGCAGAGAACATGGCAAGTCAGGAAGAATTAATTTAAGGTCGAGGTCTAGGGATTCAAGTGCAGGTGAGAGAAAAAGAATGCTCCTTCAAACCTTTATAAAATATGATTCTATGATATACCGTATTTTTTGCACCATAACACTCACTTTTTTCCTCCTAGAAAGTAAGGGGAAATGTCTATGCGTGTTATGGAGGGAATGCCTGCGGGTGGCATGCCTACTGATTTCCCTCCTCTAAAAACTATGTGCGTGTTATAGAGCGAAAAATACGGTATATATTGTGTGCATACACAGTAAGGCTGCAGTCCTGTACATATTTGTGAGAATAAGTCCCCTTGGACTTGCTTTTGAGGAAACACATTGGCAATCCATCAATAAGCCCGCAAGTGAGATTTGATCACTTCCGGAGACTAAAAAATATACCCTTGATTTTTGAGAGACACAGTGAAAACCTTCCAAACGACCCTCATTGCTATGCATGTGAATTAATATGCACGGAACTTCATGTATAACTCTGGTGGGATCTGAACTGCCTGCGACTATCCAGGAAAGAGTCCTCAGGGTAATGGTGGAGAGCTCAGCGAAAATGTCAACTTGGTGCGCAGAAAGCGCATCCCAAGTAAGGGATTATTAGAAAAGGGATAGAAAATTAAAAAGGCCAATATCATAATGCCTTAATAATAAATCTTATGGCATAGGCATATTTTGAAAGTTGAATCCTGACAAGACAGAAGTACTGTTTTGGGGGGACAGGGGGCGGGCTGGTGTGGAGGACTCCCTGGTCCTGAATAGGGTAACTGTGCCCCTGAAGGACCAGGTGCGCAGCCTGGGAGTCATTTTGGACTCACAGCTGTCCATGGAGGCGCAGGTCAATTCTGTATCCAGGGCAGCTGTCTACCAACTCCACCTGGTATGCAGGCTGAGACCCTACCTGCCCGCGGACTGTCTTGCCAGAGTGGTGCATGCTCTAGTTATCTCCCGCTTGGACTACTGCAATGCGCTCTACGTGGGGCTACCTTTGAAGGTGACTCGGAAACTACAGCTAATCCAGAATGCGGCAGCTAGACTGGTGACTGGGGGCAGCCGCCGAGACCACATAACACCGGCCTTGAAAGACCTACATTGGCTCCCAGTACGTTTCCGAGCACAATTCAAAGTGTTGGTGCTGATCTTTAAAGCCCTAAACAGCCTCAGCCCAGTATACCTGAAGGAGCGTCTCCACCCCAATCGTTCTGCCCGGACGCTGAGGTCCAGCGCCGAGGGCCTTCTGGCGGTTCCCTCATTGCGAGAAGCAAAGCTACAGGGAACCAGGCAGAGGGCCTTTTCGGTAGTGGCGCCCGCCCTGTGGAACGCCCTGCCATCAGATGTCAAAGAGATAAACAACTACCTGACATTCAGAAGACATCTTAAGGCAGCCCTGTTCAGGGAAGTTTTTAATGTATGATATTTTAGTGTTTTTTGGTTTCTATGGAAGCCGCCCAGAGTGGCTGGGGAAACCCAGCCAGATGGGCGGGGTACAAATAATAAATTATTATTATTATTATTATTATTATTATTATTATTATTATTATTATTTGAAAACTGGTTGCACCCATTTCAAAAGCATTTTATAGAACTAGAAGAGGTGTGGAAAAATAAAAGCTCACTTTTGAAGCTCACTTCCAGGGCTAGAATCATAGATTTGTAGAGTTGGAAGTGAGCCAAAGATCGTATTGTTAGCCCAGAAATGGAAACAAGAAGAAATTCTGAAGAAAGAAGAATGGCAGACGAAATGAATGGACTATGAAGAATTGGACAAAATGACAGGAAGGATTTGAAACCTACGGGACCAGAGATTTACAGAAGATTGGAAGAAGTATATGAATTATTTGAAGAGCAACTGTCATCAACAAATTACGCTAGTAGGACTACAAAAAGTTTTGTAAGGAGAAATATATGAAGTGTTACAAAGTAGAAAAAGATAGAGATATAGACTATATCCGGCTTCAGACCGTCCGCTTGAAGTCCGGGAAAGGTTAACCACCAGTAGGGGGAGTCCTGCTGATGCACATCAACTAGGAACTCCCCGGAGGTCACCGCTCGGGGGCGTGCCTTAGGCCCTCACCTCCCCAGGCTTCAGACATGGCCACGCCCCCCGGAATCCTTTATCGGGCTACCCTTCAAAATGCGGGGCAGGCGATGGCGCTTCCTCCCCTCTTCCATCTACAAAACAATACCAATGCCTAACCGACAATACCAAGAAAGTTGTGACGATTTGCTATGAGGTAGGCAAAAACCAAGTGGCTGGTGCCAATTTGCCAAGTGGAAAAATTCCTACCAGGCCCCTCAGTTGTCACCAACCAAGGTCAAGGAACGGAAACCTTATTGGGCGGGAGGGTGGGAAAAGCAGGAACAGCTGGCAGGCGGGAAAAGAGGGAGATCCCTGGCCGTGTCCTGCCTTAAGTAGGGCAGGCCACGCCCCCAGAGCCAGCCGATTGGCTGGCCAGGGGATGATGCAGCCAGGAATCCCCCAATCGTGCGAGGCTGGGCTCTAGCCGCCATGCGTGTGGTGGGGACATAAAGCCCGCAACTCCACATCCTTTGAGGCCGGAAGCGGCTTTCTTGGCAACCCAGAATAACCCCAAAGTGGGGCATGAATATCTAAAGGTGTCCAGTTCACTTATGGGCTCGGGTGCCCTTGTTGTTCTTCAGCATCCCTTGACACCCACACCACCACAGACACACCCTCGATTTCGCCAATCCAAGATACAGGAATGGGTGGAGGAGAAGCAGCTGAAGCAGTTCCCCCAACGTCAGCTAATGGCAAATGGACTTTGATTGTTTTAAGGAGGAAGCCATCAGAGACAAGGCATCCATTTTCTTTGGTGCCTAAGATGAGATAAGGGACGCGGGTGGCGCTGTGGGTTAAACCACAGAGCCTAGGACTTGCCGATCAGAAGGTCGGCGGTTCGAATCCTCACAACGGGGTGAGCTCCTGTTCCTCGGTCCCTGCTCCTGCCAACCTAGCAGTTCGAAAGCACGTCAAAGTGCAAGTAGATAAATAGGTACTGCTCCGGAGGGAAGGTAAACGGCATTTCCATGCGCTGCTCTGGTTCGCCAGAAGTGGCTTAGTCAAGCTGGCCACATGACCCGGAAGCTGTACACCGGCTCCCTCAGCCAATAAAGCAAGATGAGCGCCGCAACCCCAGAGTCGGCCACGACTGGACCGTCATCAGGGTCAGGGGCCCCTTTACCTAAGATAAATTATCCAGAGGATGAGCACGGCCGGGTCTCTTGAAGTACTTATTAATTGCGTTTCCACCCCACCTTTTTCTCCAACGAGCTTAAGATGGCACACACAGTTCTCTTTCCCCCTCTTCCTTTGACTCCCACAACAACCCTGTGAGGTTGGTTAGGCTGAGAGGCAGCCACTGGCCTCGATCTCCCCAGTGAGAGCTTTAGGTCTGAGTGGGGATTTGAACCGTTTTCTTTCACATCCCAGTCTAACGCTCTAACCACTGCACCACACTGACCGGCAGCTGTGCCCCTTTGGTGGGGGTGTGGAACACCAGCACAAGGCCTTGCCTTTCTTTTCACCTTGCTTTAACCACTTTTTTCCTCTCCTAGATCAGCCCGGCGAGGGGGCCTCGTGAAGGAGGGACCAGGGTGACCATCCGGGGAGAAAATTTGGGCTTGGAGTTCCGGGACATTGCATCGCATGTCAAAGTAGCTGGCGTGGAGTGCATTCCTTTAGTGGATGGATACATCCCAGCAGAGCAGTAAGTAAGGGCCTCAGGGTGAAAGATGCTTTATTAAGACCTTCCGCTCTGTTGTTAGGGCAGGAATGTTTACGTGAGACAACCTTGCTCTTTGTCCAACTTTCCTTGCCAGTCTCAGGCCACTGAGCCCTGAAATGAGGTGGAATAGATGGAAGGAGAGGGACACTGTAGAACATGAGTAGAGGACCTGTGACGCTCCATTGTTGATGGACTAGAACTCCCATGCTGGCTGATGGGACTTGGAGTCCAACCACATCCCTGAGAGACCTCTTCCTTCCCTACAGGCCCTCTTGGATGCTGAGATTGGCAGAGAGGGACCTCTTGGTAGTTCCTCCGCCCTCAGAGGCTCGGTGTTTGTTTGTGTGTGTGTGTGTGTGTGTGTGTGTGGCCTGGGAAAGGGTCTTCTCTGTGGTGGCCCCTAAGCTGTGGGACTCCTTCTGCACAGAGGTGCATCTGACACCTTCGTTGTGCAGCCTCCAGCAAATGCTGAAGACACACTTCTTTACCTTGGTTTTTGACACTCGAGGTGTATGTTTTTAGGACCCACCTTATTTTTGTCATTGTAAGTTGTTTTCAGCTGTTTGTGCTTTCATGTTGTAACCCTTCCTGGGACCTTAGGGTAGAGGGCAGGCAAATACCGTATTTTTCCCTCTATAGGACGCACCAGATGATAAGACACAACTAGCTTGGGGGAGGGGGGAACAAGAAGAAAAAAATTCTGAACCCCAGAAGCCAGAACAGCAAGAGGGATCTGGATTCTGGGATAGCCTCTTGCTGTTCTGGCTTCGGGGACAGCCTTTGAAGCCTCCACAGGGCAGTGGGGGGTGAAGGCACCCCGCTGCCCTGAGGAGGCTTTGCGCAGCCATCCCCAAGCTAGAACAGCGAGACGAAGCGCTGCACAGCTCTCCGTCTCCCTGTTCTGGCTTCGGGGACAGCCTTTGAAGCAGCGTGGTGCCTTCACCCTGCTGCCCTGCAGAGGCTTTGCGCAGCTAACCCCAAGCTAGAACAGCAAGACGGAGCACTGACTTTGGGCTTAGCCGCGCAGCCTGCATTCGCTCCATAAGACGCACACACATTTTCCCTTACTTTTTAGAAGGGAAGAAGTGTGTCTTATAGAGCAAAAAATACGGTAATAATAGTAACAGCAACAACACCTGGAAAGCCAGATGTTCCCCACATCTGTGCTACAGCCACCTCCCAGGCTCAGCAGAACAGAGAAAACATTACCTGCTCCTAGCGGGATTGTATATGACAGTAACTAATGCAGGTGTGGCTAGCCCTAATGATGTCGGACTCCAGTTCCCATCAGCCTTAGCCAGCATAGCCAATGTTGAGGGATGATGGGAGTTGGAGCCTAGCCACAACTGAAGCACCACAGGTTGCCCTACCTGGCTTTACAGGTAGTGCTGATGTCCCTCACCTCTGCTTTGCATGACAAGTGAGGACGAACAACATTTCCCCAGGGGTGTGTGGGAGAAACTGGGTTTGGTTCGCATTCAAAGGCAAACTTACCTCATCTGCCCCAAAACAATGCACAAATCAGAGTACAGCTGCCCTTCAAAGTTGTGCACTTCTCTGAATTTTGCAGCGCAGTTCTCCCGTTAGGTAGGGTGTGCAAAAAATGCACACACTGGAGCAAAGTGGGTGCTTATATAAGTGCATATATTAGTGGAAAATAGTAATATATTGATATGCATTATATTAGGGGAAAGTGCTTTTGGGGGGGGGAATGTGCAGATGAGGGGGAAATTGCCCTGAAATGCTGATGAATTTTCATGAGGACTAAAAAGTGTTCTTTTCAAACTAATGCGGCAATGTTGAGAACTGAAGAGTGGAAATGGAGAGAAACCAAAGTCAAAAGGTTCACTCCTCTCTACTCTTTACCAGCCTGCTTGTAGCTCAGCTCAGTAGACAATAGGCACCTGTAGCATCTCTGTCCATCATCACCAAAAGAGCTTCCATACTGGTGGGTCTCTGCTTGAGGCCGGTTGCAATGACACTAGCTTCCCCTGGAGCTGGCACAATGTAGCAAAGAAGCCCTCCAGCTGCCCACCCCTGGAATGATGAGCCTTGAGGAACAGAGGTCTACTTTTTAAGGAGAAAGGGTTTCCCCCAAATGGGATATGGGATCTGTACCATTAGGGAAATGGGATGCGGGTGGCGCTGTGGCTTAAACCACAGAACCTAGGACTTGCTGATCAGAAGGTTGGTGGTTCAAATCCCCACGGCGGGGTGAGCTCCCATTGCTCGATCCCTGCTCCTGCCAACCTAGCAGTTCAAAAGCATGTCAAAGTGCAAGTAGATAAATAGGTACCACTCTGTCGGGAAGGTAAACGGCGTTTCCGTGCGCTGCTCTGGTTTGCCAGGAGCGGCTTAGTCATGCTGGCCACATGTATGCTGGCTCCCTCGGCCAATAAAGCAAGATGAGCGGCGCAACCCCAGAGTCGGCCACGACTGGACCTAATGGTCAGGGGTCCCTATACCTTTACCTTTACCATTAGAGAAAGCCCATTCCTACCTGTCATCACCTACTTTAGCTCTAAGCCTTCCCACACACAGCAGGCACCCTTTGCACAGGGGCACCTCCTGACCCTTGAATCTCTTTCCTTCTAGAATAGTGTGCGAGATGGGCGAGGCCAAGCACAGCCAGCATGCCGGAAACGTGGACATCTGCGTGGCAGAGTGCAAGCCAGAGTTCATGGCCAAATCCTCCCAGTTCTATTACTTTACGGTAAGTCCGTGAGCGAGACTCGGGAATTGAGGAGGATGGGCAAGAGGCTTTGAGAATCCTGGAGGCTTCCAGAAATGCTCTTGAGTTTCACCCAAAGTGAAATTTCGAGTTGAGGTTGGAGGGTCATCTAAGCCCTACTCAGAGTAGACCCACTGAAATTTCTACTTCTTCATTACATGACCTTCACCTTAAGGTCCCAGGGCCTTAACTCTGCCTGTTAACTTCCATGGGTTTACTCTGAGTAGGACTAGCATTGAATCTCACACCTTGAAAGCCTTTGGCTTTCCCCAAAGAATCCTGGGTGCTGTAATTTGCCCCTCACTGAACTACAACACCCTCACACCCTTAAACTACAGTTCCCAGAATTCTCTGGGGGAAGGCATGGGCTTTAAATGTGTGTTAAATGTGCTTTCAGCATACCATATGGGGTGGATGTGAACATTCTCTCTGTCTCTCTCTCTGTCCTCCCTGGGCCAAAACTCATAAGGGTAGTTAATTCGTATTACACGCACTCTTGAGCACCCACCCTCACTGTTTGATGGATCCCTCTAGTCCTATTTGCTTAACTTTATTTTTGGGTTCTATCAGTCTTTTCTGAAAAGAAGAATGCAAATAGTTTCTAATAGCCGATTTCTCCCTCCACCCTTATCCTATTTTCGTTGTGAATATATCATCTGAAATTTGTGAAGGCAGCTGTGAATAATTAATAGGCTATTGCAACTTATTACAAGCCTGCAAATGAGATGGATAATTATTATCAGTGTTATTATCATAACACCTCCAGACATTTAGAGGCTCTCTCCTGGGACAGGAGGTAGGGATGAACAGCAGGTGATGGGGATTTATAAAGAAATGCGAAAGGAAGCCCCAAGATGCTCAATCGCTCTTGACGGAAGGGCCTTGTAAGGTATGGAAGGAACGACGGAATGGTAGCAGGCCCCTTAGTCTAGGGGAGATGCAGGCAATGTGGTACCCTCCCTGATGCTGATGGACTTCAGCTCCCATCCTCTCCTGATCATTAAATTAGCTGGCTGGGGCTGATGTGCACCTGAACTCGTGCACATACAATGGAGCTGAATGCTGGAAGATTCATCATCATCATCATTTATTACTTATACCCTATCCATCTGGTGAGGCCTCCCCAGCCACTCTGGGCGGCTTCCAACAGAATATTAAAAACATGATAAAACATCAAACATTAAAAAACTTTCCTAAACAGGGCTGCCTTCAGATATCTTCTAAAAGTCAGGTAGTTGTTTATTTCCTTAAAATCTGGTGGGAGGGTGTTCCACAGGGCGGGCGCCACCACCAAGAAGGCCCTCTGCCTGGTTCCCTGTAACCTCGCTTCTTGCAGGGAGGGAACCACTAGAAGGCCCTTGGAGCTGGACCTCAGTGCCCGGGCTGAACGATGGGGGTGGAGACACTCCTTCAGCTGAGGCCATTTAGGGCTTTATTCAGGAGAGATGAAAGAAAATACTTCTTCATGCAGCACACAGTTAAACTATGGAACTCTGACCCATGGGAGGCAGCAATGGCCACCAACATGGATGGCTTCAAAAGAGGATTAGGCAAATTCATGGAGGCTAAGGCTATGAATAGGGATGTGGGTGGCACTGTGGGTTAAACCACAGAGCCTAGAACTTGCCGATCAGAAGGTTGGCGGTTCGAATCCCTGCGATGGGGTGAGCTCCCGTTGTTCAGTCCCTGCTCCTGCCAACCTAGCAGTTCAAAAGCACTTCAAAGTGCAAGTAGATAAATAGGTACCACTCCGGCGGGAAAGTAAACGGCAATTCTGTGTGCTTCTCTGGTTCGCCAGAAGCGGCTTAGTCATGCTGGCCACATGACCCGGAAGCTGTACACCGGCTCCCTCAGCCAATAAAGCGAGATGAGTGCCGCAACCCCAGAGTCGGCCATGACTGGACCTGAAGTCAGGGGTCCCTTTACCTTTAAGGCTATGAATAGCTACCAGCCACAATGACCATGCCATAGCTGGAGGCAGCAACACTTTTGAATGCTAGTTGCTGGAAAACACAAGAGAGGAGAGCTGCTCTTGCACTCAAATCCTGCTTCCAGGTTTACTATAGCATCTGGCTGGCTTCATTCTTGGGACCAGCCTTTGGCCTCTGGTTTGTGCTCGTCCCCCACTATCCTGCCCCAGACAGTCAAGAAGAAGGAGATCCTTCCCTGATTCTTTCTCTCCCCCCCCCACCGAATTGCCTCCACAATGCCCCTACCGACCATCAGGAGGGGGGGTTTGCGGGCTCACGACCCCGCCCACTCTCCCGCGGGGCTGGCCCCAGCCTCGCGGGAAGCTGGGGATTCCCTTAATTTAAATCCCCCGTCGCGCCAGCCAATCGGCTGGCGGCGGGGGCGGGCCTCTCCGAGGCCACTTAAGGTCGGGGCAGCCCTTGGCTCGCCCCTTTTCTCCCTCGCAGCCGACACGGTTTCCCACCCACCCGCCCTCTAGGTCTGCCACTGACTTTGCTATGGGTTTCGGCTGGTCGCCGCAAGGGGCCTGGTAGGAGTTTTTCCATTTGGCTAATTGGCTGTTTTTGGGAGCCACTTGGTTTTTTCGCCTACCTCATAGCAAATCGTCACAACTCCCTCGGTTTTGGCGGTAGGCATTGGCTGGGGTATTGTCATGCAAATAAGATCGGGGGGGAGGAACGCCATCACCTCCCCCAATGCTTGAAGGGTAGTTCGTTAAAGGACTCCGAGGGGCGTCGCCTCGTCCGAAACCTACGGAGGCTAGGGCCTAAAGCGCGCCCCCGAGCGGTAACCCCTCGGGGAGCGCCTAGGGATATGCATCTCGGGTGGCTCTCCCTGTTGGTGTTTAACCCTTCCCGGTCAGACCGGATAGTCGTTAGGGGCCAATGCCTAAAGCCAATACCCTTCTTACCTGTAATCAATAAAGTTGTGGCCATTTTCGCCCATTAACCATAATTCTCGTGTCCAGTGTCTTTATTTATTCCACCAGTGGGGGGGAGGGAATAGACACGCAAAGCCCCCTTCATACTCGGAAGAGCTAGCTAAAGGAGAAACCGACATGAATAATCTCCAGCGTTCAACAACAACATCCTGTTCATTGTACCTGCTCACTCCTTGGAGAGTTTAAACCTTTCATACCATCCTTCTTAAAAGTGGAAGGGAGGCTAGGGGAAAGTGTGTGTGTGTGTGTGTGTGAGAGAGAGAGAGAGAGAGAGAGAGAGAGAGAGAGAGAAGGGGAACCTTTCATTTAAATGCAGATGATGGCTTTTCACTTGGGACCAAGCAGAAAGTTTTTTTTCTATTAAAATGCAAATGAAAGAAGAAACTGCAACTCTAGATTTCTCCCTGAGAAAGTGAGGATCCCTTGCTGTAGTTTGGTATCAGGATGATCTGTTCCCTCTTAAATATTATTGTTTTATCTTGATTTTAAAACAAAATCAGCAAGAAAAAAGAGGGTGGTTGCATTTATTTATTTTTATTAATTTATTGTAGCATTTATACCTTGTCTTTCTCTGCAATGCAGATGCTAGGCAGTTTCTTAGTGAAAGTAAAACCTTGGTACAACATATGTGTTGGGTAGGGCAAGGCTTAACTGGAACAAGGCTAAACCAGGGCTTAGTGTAGGAACTTGGGCATGAGAGTGAATACCTGTGATATTTATGTTTGGGGTTAGGATCACAGAATTCTAGAGTTGGATGGGACCCAAACCCCTGAAATGTAACTCAAATGTTGAAACTAAAAACATTCACACCTGAGAATAAGAACACGCACACACATACACACAGACCTGAATACAGCAATACGTTCCCCAAACATTGGCAATTGGAGGGATTCTGAGCATTCTGCACTAACTGCAACTCCAGTTCAAGGGAAGCCCTATAAGGTGCTGGTTTTGACCTTTAAATTTTGTATAATATAAAGTGTATATCATAAAGACAGCACAGTTGGCGCTGCACCTTATTCTAGAACGAAACGCGAACGAACCTGGAACCCCTGCAATCTCACACCACTCGGACACTGAACTGGCGCGCAACAATATGATTCAAAAGATTCTGAAAAACGGTTAAAAACAATCACCGTCTCTCCATGAACGATTTCAGAGTTGTCACGGCAGCTGTTGCTACTCTCCCTGCTAATTCCATCCTGCTAATTCCGTCTTGGCGGCGCATTCATTTCTTACTGCGGTTGTTAATCTTTTTCAGATGTTGACTCTCTTTGACCTAAATCCCAAGCGAGGTCCGGTGTCTGGCGGAACCCAAGTCACCATCACGGGCAAGAACCTGAACGCTGGCAGCAATGTCTCTGTGCTCTTTGGCGAACATCCCTGCCTTTTCCACAGGTATATCCCAAAGACCTGAGGGAGGGGGGGTGATGGCCTGGGATTCGGACTCAGAGGCTGAACCTGAGGGATCCCAGCCTGCACAGGAGTCCCCGCCTCCAGAACCAGCTGAGCCGGGGCTGGGGTTTGAGCCTGAAGGGTTCTCACCTGCGCTGGATCCTCAGGTGCAGGTACCAGCTGAGTCTGCTCTGGCCCCTGAGGTGACCCATTGCCTGCAGGTGCTCCACTCTCAGCCCCGTCAGGGGAAGAGGAGGTTGCCTCTGAGTCCAGTATCCCTCCAGCCTCTCCTGTGCTGCAGAGGCTCAGGGCAGAGAGGCAGAGGGAACTAAGTTCACGCAGGAGGAGTGCTCACCTCCAGGCCTGGAGAGGCGAGTCACCTGTGGACCGGGGCCACCCTACGCCTTGGGGCAGATAAAAGCCAGTCAGCCCCAGTCCCAGGTTGTGGGAGCAACGCTGTTGCTAGCCTGTTCCTGTCTGCACCTTGTCCTGCTCTTCTGCCTGAGCTCCTGACCCCACCGACTTCCTGCCTTGGACCCAGCTACAGCTTTGACGGACAGCCTCCATACGGCACCATCGACCTCGGACTGGGCTCGGACCTCGCCTTTCGGTTAGCCCCCGGGACCAGCACAGGGGGATATTTCCTCCGAGTGCGTCAACGAAATGATCGCAGCGGCGTAGCTAGCCACTCAGGTGCCTGGTGTGGCGCATGCATCCTGCAGCCAGGGGCGGGGCGAGCTGCCCATGGGGGTGGGGAACGCTACGTAGAGGCTCCCCACAACCTCCCCCTCAGCTGTAGGGCAGCTGAGGGGGAGGCAGTGGGCAGACGAAAGCCTCACACTGCTGTTTCAGGCAACACAGAGCCTACAGGTGCCCAAGCCAGCACATCACTCCCAAGAGAGCCACGTGGCTTGGGCACACTGCAGACCCCATGGTAAGTGCTGGCCCCAGTGGTGTGGCGCCCAGTGCCAGCCGTGTTTCTTTACATCTGTTGACTGAACTAAAAAAATTTGTGAGCCCTTTAAAAACAAAACAAAACACCTCACATTTCTGTCACTTCGTCACCCCCCTCAGTGATGACATCCGGGGCAAAACGGACCCCCTTCCTCCGCCACTGAATGAACGATAAGATTGTGCATGGCCTGCTACTGTAGTGCAATGAGTTGTCCCCATTGCTGCAGTGGAGACAGTTTAGAACAGGCATCTCTTATCTGGTGACATTGATCCATGTGACGGTCACCTCCAGGCTTGATTATTGTAACTCGCTCTATGTGGGGCTGCCCTTGGAGCTGACCCGGAAACTCCCGCGGGTGCAGAATGCTGCGGCGAGGCTCCTTACGGGGTCCTTGCCACGGGAATCACATTCATCCAGTGCTTTACCAACTGCACTGCCTCCCGGTGGAGTACAGGGTCAGGTTTAAGGTTCTGGTTTTGACCTTTAAAGCCCTAGGACCCTCGTACCTACAGGACCGCCTCTCCTGGTATGCCCCGTGGAGGACCTTAAGGTCCACAAATGACAACACTTTGGAGGTCCCAAGTCGCAAGGTGGTTAGATTGGTCTCAACTAGGGCAGGGTCTTTTCAGTACTGGCCCCGACTTGGTGGAACGCTCTGTCACAAGAGGCCAGGGCCCTGCGGGACTTGACATCTTTCCACAGGGCCTGCAAGACAGAGCTGTTCCATCTGGCCTTTGGTTTCGACTCAGTCTGACCCTTATGTTTCCCTTCCCTTATAGTTTTGATCCATGGGCTATTTTAAAATGAGGCTGCATTTTAAATTGCATTTTAACCTGTATTTTAAATTGGGTTTTTTTCTTCCCTTATTATATTTTTATTGTAATTTTACTGGTGTTAGCCACCCTGAGCCTGGCTCTGGCCAGGGAGGGCAGGGTATAAATAAAATGTATTATTATTATTGTTGTTGTTGTTGTTGTTATTATTATTATTATTATTATTATTATTGTCACTGGGCTGCCTGGAGCATCTTCTTGTTCTGGGCAGGGTGATGTCAGTTTGTAAGCAAAAGAACAAACACACACCCAATGGACTCATTCACACATACCTATTTCTAGGCACAGGTCTGGACTGTCCAGGTCCATGTCTGAGTGCTCCCCACTCTGATGGAACTCTATACTGCTGAACTGGAGCAAACAGCAATCCACAGAAAACCTGAATTGCCATTTGCTCCGGTTCAGCAATAAAGTTTGGGTTTTCCCGGGGAAAGCGACAGGACACACACAAAAATGCTTGGATACAGACCAGAAATGCACAGACCTCTGTCTGAAAAGTGTGGGTGGGCCTTTCTATGTGTAGATAAACGATATGATATATAGATATACATAAATGTGATAAAGTGTCTTTTTAGTTATTTTTTCTCTATTCTTTTTTTTCTTTCGTATATCTGTCTATTTATCTATCTATATCTATCTATCGTGTGTGTTTTGTATGGAACATGAATATTCTATTTTATATTTTCCTTTCTTCTTTTTTGATATATTGCTTTTTATTATCTTTTTATAAATGTGTTTGGATTTTTGTGCTCAGTATGTTAAAAACCTTCAATATATATACAGTGGTACCTTGGTTCTCGAACTTAATCCATTCTGGGAGTCTGTTCAGCTCCCAAAACAGTTTGAAAACCAAGGCGTGGCTTCTGATTGGCTGCAGGAGTTTCCTGCAGCCAATTGGAAGCCGCATCGGACATTCACTTCCAAAAATCATTCGCTAACCGGAACACTTCCGGGTTTGCAGTGTTCGGGAGCCAATTTGTTTGGGAGTCCAAGGTACCAGTGGGTGTATGAGAAAGTGTGGGTGAGCCCAATATTAGGGGGGGGGGACTCATTGGCTCCTCCTGTTTTAGGGCCATTTACACATTCCGTTATTCACTGGAGAATCTTTATACCCCCCACTAAAACACAAGCTGAAATGTAGCCAAAGGATTTGTCCGTGGAACCGCCTTGCTTGACCAGATTCCTTTTCTTCATTCCGGGGACAGGAGAACAGCAGAATGGATTATCTGCAACACCACGGCTTACACCAGCAGCTCGGAGAAGATGGTAGTGGACGTGGTTGTGAAGGTAGACAAGGCCAGGCTCCACAAGGAGCTGGAGAAGGCCAAGTCACCCAAGGAGCTGGAGTTTGAATATACGACAGACCCGACCATCGTGAAGATCGATCCAGAATGGAGTATTGTCAGGTAATGGCGCCATTAGAAAGGTGGCACAACTTGAGGGGCAGGTCAATTGGAAGAGCTGTTGTCAAATTTATCACAAGTAATCCTAGGAGCTTCGAGATCAAGGATGTGGAAAGTTTTACAGCCTAGGGGCCACATTTCCTTCCGGGCAGCATTTCAGGGGCCACATGATTGTGGTGGGTGGGGCCGGGGGGAAGTGGGCGGAGCAACAAATGTGAATTTCATTTTTTGTCCAGCAGGCTAGTTTCTGCACACTTTCACACTCCCCTTTCTGTCCTCCAACAAGGAAAGAAAGAGAGATGATCAGAGTTCACAGGCACATAACAAACAAATAGGAACAAATGTCAGGTTCTGCACTTAGGGGGGGGGAACCCCCAGATGCATCAATGTAAGATGGGGGACACTTGGCTTGCCAGTAGGACATGTGAAAAGGATCTGGAGGTCTTCGGGGACTACAAGCTTAACAACAGTCAACAGTGTGATGCAGTGGAAAACCCCCAAAAAGTTAATGCTATTCTAGGCTGCATCAACAATAGTATAGTGTCCAGATGAAGGGAAGTAATAGTACCACTCTATTCTGCTGTGGTCAGATCACACCTGGAACACTGTGTCCAGTTGTTCTGGGTGCCACTATTTAAGAAGGATATTGACAAATGGTACCTGGGCAAAGGAGGGCAACCAAGATAATCAAAGGTCTGGAAACCAAGCTTTGTGGGGAAAGGTTGAGGGAGCTGGGTGTGCTTAGTATGGAAAAGAGGAGAGTGAGAGAAGACGAAGAGGAGGAGGAGGAGGAGGAGTTTGGATTTGATATCCCGCTTTCTCACTACCCCAAGGAGTCTACTTTTTTGGGTTCCATGAGCACTGCAGATGGTGACAGCAGTCACAAAATTAAAAGACACCTGCTTCTTGAGAGAAAAGCAATGACAAACCTAGACAGCATCTTAAAAAGCAGAGACATCACCTTGCCAACAAAGGTGCGTGTAGTTAAAGCTATGGTTTTCCCAGTAGTGCTGTACGGAAGTGAGAGGTGGACCATAAAGAAGGCTGATCGCTGAAGAATGGATGCTTTTGAATTATGGTGCTAGAGGAGACTCTTGAGAGTCCCATGGACTGCAAGAAGATCCAACCTATCCATTCTGAAGGAAATCAGCCCTTAGTGCTCACTGGAAGGACAGATCCTGAAGCTGAGGCTCCAATACTTTGGCCACCTCATGAGAAGAGAAGACTCCCTGGAAAAGACCCTGATGTTGGGAAAGATTGAGGGCACAAGGAGAAGGGGACGACAGAGGACGAGATGGTTGGACAGTGTTCTCGAAGCTACCAACATAAGTTTGACCAAACTCAGGAGGCAGTGGAAAACAGGAGTGCCTGGCGTGCTCTGGTCCATGGGGTCACGGATGACTAAACGACTAAACAACAAAGGAGTCTCAAAGTGGCTAACAATCTCCTTTCCCTTCCTCCCCCACAATAAACACTCTGTGAGGTGAGTGGGGCTGAGAGACTTCAGAGAAGTGTGACTAGCCCAAGTTCGCCCAGCAGCTGCATGTGGAGGAGCGGAGACATGAACCCGGTTCACCAGATTACGAGTCCACTGAACCACTACACCACACTGCTATAGTGGTATAGAGGAGATATGACACCCATCTTCAAATATCTTAAGGGCTGTCACATGGAAAAAGCAGCAAGCTTGTTTTCTCTTGCTCTGGAGGGTAGACCCGAACCAACAGCTTCCAGTTACAAGAAAGGTGATTCTGATTAAACTTTTTGACAGTAAGAGTGGTTAGATAGCGGAAAAGACATCCTTGGGAGGTTGTGGATTTTCACTGGAGTTTTTGAGCAGAGGTTGGATGGCCATCTGTCATGGATGTTTTAGCTGAGATTCCTGCATTGCAGGGGGTTGGACTAGATGACCCTTGGGGTTCCTTCCAACGCTACAATTTTATGATTCTGCTTCTCATCAGACAAAAACATCTGGCGGGTGAAGCCAGCCAGTGAGGGTTGTGGTCTGGGAAGAGGCTCTCTCGCCAGGTGGGCGAACTCTCTAGATCATGGGTAGGCAAACTAAGGCCCGAGGGCTGGATCCAGCCCAATCGCCTTCTCAATCCGGCCCACAGACGGTCCGGGAATCAGTGTGTTTTTACATGAGTAGAATGTGTGCTTTTATTTAAAATGCACCTCTGGGTTATTTGTGGGGCATAGGAATTCGTTCATTTTCCCCCCTTCAAAAAATATAGCCCGGCGCCCCACAAGGTCTGAGGGGCAGTGGACCGGCCCCCTGCTGAAAAAGTTTGCTGACCCCTCAGGGTTGCTGTCATTGTATCTCGCATTGCAGATCCTGCACTGAGCCGGGCAGGACTAAATGAGCTCTAGTCACCTTTCCAACTCCAATTCAAAGCTTTTACGAAAAGCCTAGTTTTGCATCTTTGCACACATTCCCTGCTACAGCTCAGTTTTGCCTTATAAGTCAAAAGCCTGACACCCCACCCCCTTCTTTGTGAAACAGATTTGGAACTGCTTGCACGGAGGATATCTTTAAATGAGCTTTTAGGTCGGTGGGAGGGAAGATAGCCTTTCCTGGCTCTCCTGTGTAAGGAATAGATAATTGCCCTAGGAATGGTTCTGCACTGGTTGTTGATGAAGATTGGTGCTTGGTCCAATTGGAGCTGAGACATCCTGCAGCCTTCACATCCCCCTGAGCATGGAGGGAGCTGAAACATATGTAAATTTCGCCAAGCCTGGCCCAGTGGAGAGAAAAATTGGCCATTAAACTTTTGTGTATTCCTTTTAAGATAATTTTACAAATGAGGAGTGGGGCTCGCCTCTCTCCTCTTTACATCAGTGGCTAGAAAGGAGCACAGAGAGCTGCCTTATACTTGGTTCATCCACCTCAGTATTGCATACACTGACTGGCAGCTGTTCTCCAAGGTTTCAAGCAGCTTTCTCCCCTAGCCCTCACTGGAGATGCTGGGGATTCAAACTGGGACCATTGGCATGCAAAGCAGATGCTTTAACCACTGAGCTACAGCCCCTTTCCTAAAGCTGTGCTGTGAAACCAAAGTAAATGGAAGGCCTGTGGGAGTTAAATATATATATATATAATAATATTTTTTATTAATTTTATCATATACCGTATTTTTTGCTCTATAAGACTCATTTTTTCCCTCCTAAAAAGTAAGGGGAAATGTTTGCGCGTCTTATGGAGCAAATGCAGGCTGCGCAGCTATCCCAGAAGCCAGAACAGCAAGAGGGATTGCTGCTTTCACTGCGCAGCGATCTGTCTTGCTGTTCTGGCTTCTGAGATTCAGAATATTTTTTTTCTTGTTTTCCTCCTCCAAAAACTAGGTGCGTCGTGTGGTCTGGTGCGTCTTATAGAGTGAAAAATACAGTGAATTATAATGCATACCACAAAACTTCATCATTTATACAATCTTTTTTTTTTGGACTTCCCTCAGCACCTCTGATGATCCACCGTTTTAACCACTTCTTATGCGTTTCTTAAATTCTTATTACCTTTAATTATCATAACTAACCCTCCTCCCCCTTATCCATTTTTTGCAATAATTCCACTAATACTCCTCACAAAACTTATTGCAAACCTACAGACATAGTCTGGTCATCACAAATACTTTTCAAATAATCTGTAAATTTACTCCAGTCTTCTGTGAATTTCTGGTCCCGCCGATTTCGGATCTTTCCTGTTAGCTTATCCAGTTCTGCATAGTCCATTAATTTCATCCTCCATTCTTCTTTCGTCGGTAATTCTTCTTGCTTCCATTTTTGGGCCAATAACATTCTTGCTGCCGTTGTTGCATATAAGAACAGCTTACATTCCTTTCTATTTATATTACTTCCTACAATGCCCAATAAGAATGCTTCTGGTTTCTTTATGTGGGAGTTAAAAATATGACTGGTTAGTTTACCCAAAGCTGCCACTCACCAAGTCATTTTTTTGCAGGTCCTTTTTTTTTTTTTTTTTGCAAATCAATTAGTCACTTTAATGATTGCAAAGAGTTCGAAAGGTTAAGATTAATTGAACATCAATATGTTTGGAATCATAAGCAGAAATTATTGGACTTCCCAGTTGGGAAGAACGGTAAAGAAGTAATTTCATATACTTTGATGCTACAATGGTTCTGCTCAAGAGCCAGATGTTCTTCCTGCTGCTGTGGAAATCTGCCTGCGGGTTACACTTATGTGAGCAAGCATTAATACGTATTTATGTTGCCTGCAGTCTCATGTGAGTCCAGGCTTTCTATGCTGACCCTCTTCATTCTCGTGGTCGCTTGGCCCTTGGTGCAGTGCAACTGTGAGCAAAATGCACACCTTCAAGGTTTGCTCAGGCAGTTGTAAAAGGACAGAGCCCATGATGCAGTGCAACTGTGAGGGCAACACTTCATGCAAAACAAACTGCAGAGATCCCAGGATGCAAAACAGAAATGAAAACTGGAATTCTTCCTGCAGGTTGCCTAAAATCCTATGGAAAGAATAGCCATGGTTTCAGAGGCATATTGAGTTGCATGCCAACAGATCAAATACACCAGACCCTTTAGCAGTCTGGGAGTGCTGAATCGATGGGAAATGGACAGTAAAAATGTCAAGAATTTTGGATGAGCAGGTGGAATTCACACCTCAGTTCCTTCTTTTAAACATGCCTGATGGTGAAAATCATTCGTTCAAACCTAAGAATAAAGGTAAAGGTAAAGGGACCCCTGACTTCAGGTCCAGTCGTGGCCGACTCTGGGGTTGCGGCGCTCATCTCGCTTCATTGGCCGAGGGAGTCGGTGTACAGCTTCCAGGTCATGTGGCCAGCATGACTAAGTCGCTTCTGGCGAACCAGAGCAGCGCACGGAAACGCCGTTTACCTTCCCGCCGGAGCGGTACCTATTTATCTACTTGCACTTTGACGTGCTTTCAAACTGCTAGGTTAGCAGGAGTAGGGACTGAGCAACGGGAGCTCACCTCGTCGCGGGGATTCAAACTGCCGACCTTCTGATCGGCAAGTCCTAGGCTCTGTGGTTTAACTGACAGCGACACCCGCGTCCCAACCTAAGGATATGGGACGACTTTTGATAAAAGCAACTTGCCTGTCCGTTGCACAGAAATGGAGGAAACTTTGAAGGACTAGATCTGGACTTTTGATACTGCAGTGTCTGCTCTATAGCAGTGGCTGAAAGGCTGATTCCTTACCGGACAGGAACCGGACAGACTTTATGCAATATGGCATAGGCTTATTGAGTCCTTTTACTCTGACAAAGAATGCTACGCTCCATCAGAAGTACAGAGGCAAGTTTGCCTGACTGGGACTGCATCTTGAGGGAATCTTCTCTTTTGGAAGGCAGCAGAGAGGGGAGAGACTTCATACTGGCGTGGGCTGATCATGGCTGTTTTTATTTCTTACCGTATTGAGGAATACGGATGTCTTTGTGTGCAAAGTCACACGTGGTTGATTTTCTCTGTTTTCTTTAAGAGTGCTATTTAACAAAGAAAGCTTTTAAAAAGGTCACTGGAAAAAAGATGGTATATTGCATTTTTTCTGAAGGGGGATGAAAACATTCTCATAGTTTTGATTAATATTTTTTTGCAGAATGGGGGATCAAAGATTGTTTGGGGCAAGGGCTTATCTTTAAAGATGAGGTGGCAGGTGGGTTTCTCTCTCTCTCTCTCTCTCTCTCTCTCTCTCTCGAAGAAGAAGAAGAAGAAAGCTTTTGTTTTTTATTTTTTGCAGAAATCTCAACCCACAGTCCCCCCATCGAATTTGAAACGATACTGGACCCTCTTTAGCTTTGCAAATGCGCTAGCAATTTTATTGCTGCACCAGCACAGTATTTGCAGCTCCTGCAGAGTAGTCTAGCAGATCATCAGAGTCTTTTTGCTCTCCAGAGTTGATGGTTAGGAAAACTCATTGCAAACCCAGTTCAGTTCAAAGTGTTTATTGCCTCAAGACTCAAGACAAGTCAAACACACTATACAGTGGTACCTCTAGTTACAAACTTAATTTGTTCCATGGTCCGTTCTTAACCTGAAACTGTTCTTAACCAGAGGCGTGCTTTCGCTAAAGGGGCCTCTTGCTGCCGCTGCGCCGGCGGCACACGATTTCCGTTCTCATCCTGGGGCAAAGTTCTCAACTCGAGGTAACTCTTCCAGGTTAGCGAAGTTTGTAACCTGAAGCATTTGTAACTCGAGGTACCACTGTATACACAAACTTAAGAGATGCGGGTCCATCATGGATTATTCTACAGTGGTACCTCGGGTTACAGACGCTTCAGGTTACAGACACTTCAGGTTACAGACTCCGCTAACCCAGAAATAGTACCTAGGGTTAAGAACTTTGCTTCAGGATGAGAACAGAAATCGTGTGGCTACAGCACGTCGGCTGTGGGAGGCCCCATTAGCTAAAGTGGTGCTTCAGGTTAAGAACAGTTTCAGGTTAGGAACAGACCTCCAGAACAAATTAAGTTCTTAACCCAAGGTACCACTGTACTAAGTACAGTTCTTAATACTTAGTACTTAGAGGTTAAAATGTAGAGATCCAAATATACAGAGAGATTTGCTTAATCCAAGTCAGTATCTCAGTTCAGTTCTTGCAACACGCTGCTGAGAGCAGCCTTGGCTTCATACTCCCCCCACCCCCCAGTGCACATTCACACCTTTTTTTGGAGAAAGAGAAGGTGGATAAGAAATGCGAGAGGCCTTTGGCCTTGAGCTGTTTCATACATCCCACTGCAGCTGGCATCCTTTCCCAAACAGAATTCAGACATGGGGGAAGGTCAACTCATAGCTGTCGATCGCATGGTCGGCGGTTCGAATCCCCGTGGCGGGGTGCACTCCCATTGCTCGGTCCCAGTGCCTGCCAACCTAGCAGTTCGAAAGCACCCCCGGGTGCAAGTAGATAAATAGGGACCGCTTACTAGCGGGAAGGTAAACGGCGTTCCGTGTGCTGCGCTGGCTCGCCAGATGCAGCTTGTCACGCTGGCCACGTGACCCGGAAGTGTCTGCGGACAGCGCTGGCTCCCGGCCTATAGAGTGAGATGAGCGCACAACCCTAGAGTCTGTCAAGACTGGCCCATACGGGCAGGGGTACCTTTACCTTTAGCCTCGAAAATAAGGGATCAGCAGCCAAAATAAGGGATTTTCCCAGCACAGGTATGTTCAACTTCTGAGCCCCTCTGAGCCAAAGGCAGAAAGCCCAGCCAGCAGCCAGACAAAGCCTCAAGCCGTGGTTCCCACAGTGCAGCAACCCGGCAAAGGGGATGCAGCAAGGAAAACCACCGTCACCTCTCCGCTGGGAAGCGCTGAGCAAAGGCGAGTCCCCAGGCAACGCGGCCGATTTGATCGGCTCAAGGCATGCAAGCTCCACCCCCCAGTCGTTCTTAGACTCCTTATTGGGTGAGCAACACAGCCAAGCAACACAGTTGGAGCCTCCCTCCTCCTTGGCCGGCAAGGAGGGAGGGAGAGGAGCTGCTTCCTTTGAAACCCGGGAAATTTAAGGAACATCATCAATAAGGGACAGCAGCGGGACATGGCACTGGAATAAGGGAGTTCCCCGCCAAATAAGGGACAGATGACAGACTAAGCAGTTAGTGCAATTTTGCCGCATTTCCAAATCACACCAACCGAGCTGCATCCATTGGCCAAGTTGACCCCACCCATCCAAAAGTATGTCAGTTTTGCCCACTCCCCGAAAAGTCACTGATGACGTCACATAACCCACTTTCATGGGGGATGAGCAGTGGAGTGAAAGTCCAGGTCAAACACAAACCAAGGGGAGTGGATTTTAATCTCTATGGACATTTACTCTCTGACTTTATTTTGGGTAAGCATCCATAGGCCTGATTTGGGAGATTTCAGCTGATTTTCCTCCCCCCTTCTCTTTCCTTTTATCTCGCCATCAGTGGAAATACACCCATTACAGTGCGGGGCACGAACTTGGACCTCATCCAGAACCCTCAGATCCGGGCGAAGTACGGTGGGAAAGAGCACATCAACGTGAGTATGAGAGTCGATAAAACAGATACAAGCTGTCCGAAAAAGCGTGAGGAAAATGCTGGGATTGAATCGCATAAGAAGAACCTGGTTGCTGGATCAGGCCAATGGCCCATCTAGTCCAGGATCCTGTTCTCACAGTGGGGAAGCCAGGTGCCCATGGGAAGCCTGCAAGCAGGACCATCATGGTAGCCAAGAACCTGATGTCCCAGGAAGAAGCCCACAAACAGGGATCTCCTCACTTGTGATACCCAATGACTTTTATTCAGAAGCATTGCTGCCTCCAAGGATGGAGACAGAACATAGCCTTCATGGCTAGCAACCATTGATAGGCTTAAACTCCATGAATTTGTCTTCTCCCCTTTGAAAGTCATTAAACGTGGTGACCACTATGGCCAAAAGGCTGCCATTGCTGCACTGGGAAGATAAATTTATGGCTCCATTTACCGTATTTTTTGCTCTATAGGACTTTTTTTGCTCTATATTTTTTCTTGTTCTCACCCTCTAAAACAAGGTGCGTTCTGTGCATTCAAGGTGCGTTCACCCGAAGCCTCCGGAGCCCAGCTTTGGGTTCCTTTTGACCTGCTCTTTGGGGCTGGCGGGGGGGGGACCGCTGCTTTCCCCCACCGCCAGTCCCAAAGACCAGGTTGGGGAGCAGCGCGAAGGCGGAGAGCAGCGCGAAGGCAGCGTGCCGCCTTCCCTCTGCCCCCCGAGCTTGTGGGGCTGGTGGGGGGGGAAGCGTTGCAGCCTTCCCCCCACCTTCATACAGCCTTCGTAGCCTCCGCAAGACAGCGGGGTGAAGGCACCCCGCTGCCCTGCGAAGGCTTTGCGCAGCTAACCCCAAGCTAGAACAGCGAGACAGAGCGCTGCGCAGCACTCCGTCTCCCTGGTCTGGCTTTGGGTTTAGCCGCGCAGCCTGCATTCACTCTATCGGATGCACACACATTTCCCCTTAATTTTGGGAGGGGGAAAAGTGCGTCCTATAGAGCGAAAAATACGGTAATCAATGGATTGAAGCTATGACTACACTTGGTACTTATGAGTGCATTGCTTATAGACATAGGCTTTGCCTGGACGAGTATAATGAAATTTGGAACCATTTATACAACATATAATAAGTTAAATATATACATATATACGTGTGTGTGTGTGTGTGTGTGTGTGTGTGTGTGTTTGGGTCATAACAGTATCTATATATTAGATAGGTATATATGGAATTGTAATTGTTAATTTTTATAGTGCTGTAGTATACCTTTCTTTCTTTTTCTTTCTTTCACATTCTCAGTTTTTATTGCTATTCTATGTCATTTATTTATAATGTTGTTAAAACAAGGATAATAATAAAAAGTAAAGATGGTGGCCGTTGTTGCCTCTTGTGGGAGCGAGCGCCATAGTTTGACCATGAGTTGTGTCACGATTTTCCAATGTTCAACTTCATTGAATGTCCAAGAGTTGTCGTATTATATGAGAGAGGGGGGAAGAAAGGGGGGGACTATTCACTTTCTCCATGCCAATTTTATCCAATTCTGTCATGTCACTTCTTATTCTCCTTCTCTGTAAATGAAAATTGGTCCAGTGGAGATCTATTGTGGAGCCATCACCACCACACCGATGCTTTTGGCAACTGTTTCCAAATTCAATTCAAATTTCCAACTCTTTGTGAGTTGTGCACGTTGTGAAATTCACCACCAGCTGTCCTGTTTCATTCTAGTTTATGCCAATCTAGGCTACACTCAACTAGCATTGGCCGGTTTGGATGGTTTTAAAATGTGATTAGACAAATCCAGGGAGGTTGCAGCTATTAACAGCCTACTGGCCAGGATGATCAGAGGCAGTGAGTGTCCGAATTCCAGTTGATGGAGTGCAACATCTGTTGCGCTCATGTCCCAACTTGGGCTTCCCATAGGCATCTGCTTGCCATTGTTATACTTATTTTAAGGTTTTATCTAGCATTTGTGGACTTCCCAGGGAATTTAGGATGAAGTAAAGGAAAAGGGACCCCTGAACATTAGGTCCAGTCATGACCGACTCTGGGGTTGCGACGCTCATCTCGCTTTATTGGCCGAGGGAGCTGGCATACAGCTTCCGGGTCATGTGGCCAGCAGGACTAAGCCGCTTCTGGGGAACCAGAGCTGTGCACGGAAACGCCGTTTACCTTCCCGCCAGAGCAGTACCTATTTTTTTTTTTAATATATATTTTATTCAGGATTTTCTTGTTTTACAGAGGTGTAGTGCCTCGCATTTTTTTTCCATGTAACATCTACTTGCACTTTGATGTCCTTTCGAACTGCTAGGTTGGCAGGAGCAGGGACCAAGCAACGGGAGCTCACCCCGTCGCGGGGATTCGAACTGCTGACCTTCTGATCGGCAAGTCCTAGGCTCTGTGGTTTAACCCACAGCGCCACCCGTGTCCCTCTTAGGATGAAGAATGGTATATAAATCTAATAAAATAATAATAAATTTTAAAAATCTTCAGTTCTATTTATCACACCAGAATGCAAGAAACAGATGAAACCCAGGATCTAATTTTAATACATGGTCACTTTAAACCAGTTAGCTTTCAAAAGTACTTTTGCCCACCCAGAACACTAAGGACAGTGGCAGACCTTGGGCTATTAAATTTCAGCAGTGCCCTGTACGGCACCAATAATTGGATCCCCCTGCCCCACCTCTCACCTTCATTGTTGTGGGGCCCTGCAGGTAAAAGGTAAAGGACCCCTGGATGGTTAAGTCCAGTCAAAGGAGACTAAGGGGCATGGCGCTCATCTCACTTTCAGGCCGAGGGAGCTGCCATATGCCCGCAGACAGCTTTCTGGGTCATGTGGCCAGCATGACTAAACAGCTTCTGGCACAGCAGGACACTGTGATGGAAACCAGAATCCATGAAAATGTTATTTACCTTTCTGCCGCAGTGGTACCTATTTATCTACTTGGGCTGGTGTGCTTTCAAACTACTAAGTTGGCAGGAGCTGGGACAGAGCAACGGGAGCTCACCCCATTGTGTGGATTCGAACTGCCGACCTTCCAATTGGCAAGCCCAACAGGCTCAGTGGTTTAGACCACAGCGCCACCTGCATCCCTAGGGCCCCTGCAGCACCCTCTCAACTCAATGCCCACTGCAGGTGAACTGGTCTCACTCCCCTAAATCTGCCTCTACTAAGGATAAGGATCAGACAGAAATTTTTAAACCCAAGTTGACTCCTTAAAAAATAATTTAAAAAATGGTTTCTCTAAGGATACAGTGGAGGGAGTTCAGAAGATGAAGATTAGTTAAATGTAAATATATTTAGGATCAGAACTTGAAAGGACTAGACTTCTGAGCTGGGGAGAATGGAGAAGAAACACCTTTATTTACTTGGTTGGTGCATTTGCACTGCACCAACCCAACTGCTGTGAACTTAGCAGCTCTATCCTACCAAGTGAGCTGCGTCTGAATGATGTTGTGCAGAGTGCAGCATGCCTGATTCCCCCATTCAGTTCTATGGGGCAGAGTAAATGATCTTCACTGGCCAAGACTAAGAAAAAGGACTAACCCAACTGAAATATACTTGGAGTCGAGTGTGGATTACATGCTCTTTATTCAGCTCATAGTAGTGAGGAATGGAAGTTCCCTTGAAATGTCTGCTTTAAATATATTATTTACACAATGGGTCCCACGTGATTGGCTGATTCTGGGATTTTCCTGTAGGCCAATCATGTTGCGGATTCACTTCTACCTGGAGCTGGATTGGGTGGCTCCTGCAGACCAATCAGACTGCTGCATTCTGGATCCTATTGTTCTAGGACAAATCAGACTGCTGCATTCTGAATCCTATTGTTCTAGGACCAATCAGACTGCTGCATTCTGAATCCTATTGTTCTAGGACCAATCAGACTGCTGCATTTTGGATACCAACTGTGTCCCCCACAAAAAGTGAGTGACTTCTATTTACTCCACTGTGTCCCCCACAAAAGTGAGTGACTTCTATTTACTCCAAGGAAACCTGGCAGCCCGTGTGTGTGTGTGTGTGTGAAATGTGTTGCTGTGCACACACTGAAGAACGATATATCACGCCCTTGGGGGTCCCTACAGCATCCTGACACCTCCTGGCCATTCCTGCAATGGATATTTTGTTGATATGATATAAACCCCAGTACCATCTTTTCTGCAGAAAGATGGCAGTTAAGAGCCAGGGCATTCCGTGCTGGTCTTGTGAGCTTTTTCATTCTGCAGCAGGATGAACTCTGCATGCCAAGCCAGCACATCTGCGAGGCCAGTCTTGAGTTGTGTCACTTCTGATTTAGCTCAACACGATTGCTCCGTGGAGCTGGCATAGAACCTAATGGAGAATGGCTTGGCCTATTTCACTGGCGAGATTGGATACAGAGGGTGGGGGACAGAGAGAGAAAGAGAGGGAAGGAGGAGGAGGTTGGCTGCAGAAGGTCTTCATGTTTCTAGCTGATTAGAAGTGCCAGTTGAGAGAAGGACTCTCAGGCCTGAATTCTGTTCCATTCTGTTTGGGTGTTTTTTCAACCCGAAAAGATTCTGTTAAAACAAGTAGGTCTTCTGATGCTAACGAAACATGCCAACACTTCGCAGGAGCTTCTGCAAAGCTCTGCATTTTTTTTGTGAGCTTCTTTGCATAGCAGGAGGTGTCAACATCATGCCACCTTCCTCAGATCCCTCCTGCTTTGGGCAAGACATCTGGTGCTTGCCACATTCTGGTGTAATGGAGCCAAAGTTTAAACATGTTGATGGCTGCAGTCCTGTAGAGCCTTACCCTGGGAATAACAGAGTAATCCAACCCGCCTATATCTCATTCTGGAGGGAGTTTGGTTGAGATTGAGAAGCCAATCTGTTGAGGTCTGTCTGGCTCGGTTGGCTCTGGGGGCAAGGAGAGTCTGTCATGGAGATCCCCACTTTGCCTGCTGAAATCATGAATGGTCAGCTCCTTCATGGCTGGGACTGATGGAAGTGGTAGTCAAAAACACATGGAGGGCTTCTTCTTTCTTTGTTTCTTCTTTGGCGATCACTCGGAGCCGAGTAAGATTGTCTTCCATAAACACAGTTTTAACAATGAATCCGTAAGTGACTGTGGAGGCCTATTCTGGATCCACACGTCCTTCCACAGTGGGGACATTGGTTTCCAGGTGGGAGTTGATCACGGTGATGGTTTGCCAAGCTTGCCTTCCTCTTAGCACATTTCTCCCTTTCGTCCTGAGTTTGAGTGTCTTCAAAGCCCATGACAACTTTGGTAAAGGCTGTTCTCCAACTGGAGCGCTCGCAGGCCAGTGTTTCCCAGTTGTCGGCGTTTATACTACATTTTTAAAAAATTGCCTTGGGACAGTCTTTAAACCTCTTTTGTTGACTACCAGTATTACGCTTTCTATTTTTAAGTTCGGGATAGATTAGTTGCTTTGGAAGACGATCATCAGGCATCCACACAACATGACCAGTCCAATGAAGTTGATGTTGAAGAATCATTGCTTTGATACTGGTGCTCTTTGCTTCTTCCAGTACACTGGTATTAGTTTGCCTGTCTTCCCAAGTGATGTGTAAAACTGCAACATGAGTTTCTTATTGATTCATGCTCATTTGCTTTAGCCCCAGCCAAAATCAAAACAATAGCAGTAGCTAATGCCAGGCTCAGAGAAGTTTCCTAATGCTACAAACCCTGGTAAATATATCCAGGGATAATCGAGATAACTGCCAGGCACATTCACTTTAATGGATTCTAACACAACAGAGGCAAAAGAAGCCATTATCTGCTTGCTTGCTTCTTCCTGGTTTGTTTTTTTCATCCAGTCATTTGCGAGTAAAGCCACTGCCTTTTCAAATGCTTAACCAATAATTACAATCTTTCAAGGGCAACCTAAGAAAGCTTCCCCAGTCATCTGCCACAAAAGGGAGATAAAACAAAGTAGGTTTCTTTGCAAACAGAAGCAGGTAAATGATATAAAATAAGAATCGGCATAAGCAATGGTAGCACAGGTCTTCGGTAATGTTGTATAAGTCTAATCAGAAACATGAGCACATAAGAAGAACCTGCTGGATCAGGCCGATGACCCATCCAGTCCAGCATCTAGCTGTTCTCATGGTGTCCAGCTGTGGGAAACCAGCAAGCAGGATCTGAAAACAAGAGCCCTGTAGTTTCTAGCAACTGGTATTCAGAAGCATTGCTGTCTCCAGATGTGGTGGCAGAGCCCAGCCATCACTGCCAGTAGCCACTGATATCCCTCTCCTCCATGAATTTGTGGGATCTTCTTTCAAAGCTATCTAGGTTGGTGACCATCACTGCCTCCTATGGGAGCAACTTCAATAGTCTGACTAGGTGCTGCATTAAGAAGTACTTTGCTTCACCTGTCCTGACAAGACAGAAGTACTCTTTTGGGGGAACAGGAGGTGGGCGGGTGTGGAGGACTCCCTGGTCCTGAATGGGGTAACTGTGCCCCTGAAGGACCAGGTGCGCAGCCTAGGAGACATTTTGGACTCACAGCTGTCCATGGAGGTGCAGGTTAATTCTGTGTCCAGGACAGCTGTTTACCAGCTCCATCTGGTGCACAGGATGAGACCCTCCCTGCCCGCAGACTGTCTCACCAGAGTGGTGCATGCTCTGGTTATCTCCCGCTTGGACTATTGCAATGCGCTCTGTGTGGGGCTACCTTTGAAGGTGACCCAGAAACCACAACTCATCCAGAATGTGGCAGCTAGACTGGTGACTGGGAGCGGCCACCGAGACCACATAACACCGGTCTTGAAAGACCTACATTGGCTCCCAGTATGTTTCCGAGCACAATTCAAAGTGTTTGTGCTGACCTTTAAAGCCCTAAACGGCCTTGGCCCAGTATACCTGAAGAAGCGTCTCCACCCCCATCGTTCTGCCCAGACACTGAGGTCCAATGCCAAGGGCCTTCTGGCAGTTCCCTCACTGCAAGAAGCCAAGTTGCAGGGAACCAGGCAGAGGGCCTTCTCAGTAGTGGCACCCACCCTGTGGAACGCCCTCCCAGCAGATGTCAAAGAGAAAAACAACTATCAGTCTTTTAGAAGACATCTGAAGGCAGCCCTGTTTAGGGAAGCTTTTAATGTTTAATAGGTTATTGTATTTTAGTGTTCTATAGGAAGCCACCCAGAGTGGCTGGGAAAACCCAGCCAGATGGGCGGGGTATAAATAATAAATTATTATTATTATTAGGTTGGTGACCATCACTTCCTCCTATGGGAGCAACTTCAATAGTCTGACTAGGTGCTGCATTAAGAAGTACTTTGCTTCACCTGTCCTGATAAAAGTCATAAATCATCATCATCACTACCATTTTATGGTTGAGATGAGATTTTTGAATGCCGGTCACCTTGGTTACTTGTGCAGCTGATAATTCCACCCTCTGCCCAGATATTGATACGGCTTTGTAACCTATTCCATGATGCTGCTAAACTGCACTTGCACCCCCTATTGGATTGTGCGTTTCAGGTTTGCGAAGTGCAGAACGACACGGAGATGATCTGCCAAGCACCAGCGGTGGAACCAAATAACCAGACCGACCCTCCTGTGTGGCCTGATGAGTTTGGCTTCATCTTGGACAACGTCCACTCCTTGCTGATCCTCGAGAAACCCAACTTCACCTACTACCCAAACCCCATCTTTGAGGCTTTCAATCCCTCTGGGATTTTGGAGCTAAAACCAGGGACCCCTGTGATATTAAAGGTATGGTGAGAGGGAGCGGTGGTCCAAAATTGAAACCACGCCATCCATTTCCTAGTGAATCCCCAAATTTCTAGTGAAGTGTGATGTCCTTTTGACTAAATTCTGATGTTCTTACATTTGTTCAGTGGCCATTACAGATGAACATAAAAGGTAAAGGGACCCCTGACCATTAGGTCCAGTCGTGGCCGACTCTGGGGTTGCAGCGCTCATCTCGCTTTATTGGCAGAGGGAGCTGGCGTACAGCTTCTGGATCATGTGGCCAGCATGACTAAGCCACTTCTGGCAAACCAAAGCAGCGTACGGAAATGCCGTTTACCTTCCCGCCGGAGCAGTACCTATTTATCAACTTGCACTTTGATGTGCTTTCGAACTGCTAGGTTGGCAGGAGCAGGGACCTAGCAACGGGAGCTCACCCTGTCGCGGGGATTTGAACCGCCGACCTTCCGATTGGCAAATCCTAGGCTCTGTGGTTTAACCCACAGCGCCACCCGCGTCCCTACAGATGAACATAAGGATGCCATATTTTGAGCCCATATCGCTGGGGCACTGGGTGGTTCTTGGGCTTGGGTTTGAGTGTTCATTGAACCAGAGAACGTTTTGCTACAAGCTTCCCACTTTCTGCAGTGAAATGTACAGTTGGATCTTGCTGGATGTCAATGGCAAAGATGACCCAGGGCCTTTCGCTCACCGCAAGGGCCTCTGCTCCTTGATGCTGCTCACAAACTGATGGGTTTTGTTTCTCTCAACACAGGGTAAAAACCTGATCCCATTGACAGGAGGGAACGCCAAGCTGAATTACACTGTTCTGGTTGGTGAGAAGCCCTGTGTTCCCACAGTATCTGAAGTGCAGCTGCTGTGCGAGTCCCCAAATCTCACTGGACGGCATAAAGTGACGGTGAGCAAAAGCACTAATATGCTGCAGAGCAAATGCAATTCTCTTCTGGAGGAAAGGTTGGGTTCTGCAGCCTGCATAAATCATGCAAAGTCGAAGAAATGTGCATAATGTATCTTCTTTTGCATAATGTATTCTTTCACTGCTTTGAGTTTTTTGTTGATTAAGCAGTATCTAAACCCTGTTGAATAAAATAAGTAATTATCCTTCAGCTTTTACTGATTTGTTCCTTTTTTTTGCTAGTTATGGAGAAAGGTAAGGTGTTCTTCAAACCAATTCAGCCCTGCAGATCTTTCTAGGGCTCATCTCTGGCTTCTCAGATTTCAGCTTATACTCTTTCAAGCATAACCTTGAAACCACATGGGCTAGAAACTTGGCTTTTGAAGTAAAGGAAGCCGAGAGACTCATGAAGCTGAGTGTTGCAGGCAGTGCCACATTTGGGGCTTTGCAGAGTGTCTTTCTGGAGTGCCTTGAACTTATCTTGGTCTCCTCACTTCCTTCCTCTAACTTGCAGGCTCGCGTTGGAGGAATGGAGTTTTCCCCAGGGATGGTAAACATCTCCCCGGACAGCCCACTTAGCCTGCCCGCCATAGTCAGCATTGCCGTGGCAGGGGGGCTCCTCATCATCTTCATCGTGGCTGTGCTGATTGCCTACAAGCGCAAGTCCCGCGAGAGTGACCTCACCCTCAAACGGCTCCAGATGCAAATGGACAACTTGGAGTCCCGGGTCGCCTTGGAGTGCAAGGAAGGTACGGCAAGCGGAAAGGACCAAAAATGTTTTTAAAAGCCATGGGAGGATCCTTCTGTCATATGCAAAGTAGAGAAGTGTGCATCTGGCAACAGGAGAGCCCATTTTGAGATGCAGGGCAACTGAGAATAGGTGTGTAGACCAGTTGGCTCATGTTATAGCTAAGAATGAAACTGCTAGCAAAGGAATTGTGTGGAAAGGAGTAGGTTAAGGGGACAGGAGAGATTGAAGTTTCAGTTGGCTTGGGGAAGTCAAATTGTACATGGCTTAGAACAGGAGTGGGGGAGACCTTCATGAGCTCAAGGGCCACATTCCCTTCCAGACAACATTCCAGGGGCCACACAAAGCCAGAGACAAAAGCAGTTGCAGCACAAGTGCAATGTTTACCTTTGTACATTAGATTGATTTCTACACGTAGAGGGGATAAACCTTCTCCCTGGCTAATGGGCTGTCAACTTTAGTTCCTTCTCATCTGTCACTCTACAAAAACAGATGGCACCAGGCAATTGACTCCTTTTGGATGATGGGTCAAAGTTACAACACATTTTGTAATGGGACTGGTCTCTATATTGTACACATTTCTGATTAATGCCTCTGTTGGGGCCCATAGTCAAAAGTCATGGTGGGAATCTAACTGGGACATACAGATGAGCAGAGGAATGGTCTGTGGACCAAGCCTCCATACAGGTCATCACCAGCTCAAACTTGAGAGCTCTTTCTAAAGTTAGAACATGGCTGGTACCTTACTCCATAACTGCTCTCCTCCGTGCATCCAGGTACATCTTCACTGTCTTGGAAGGGCTGCCATGTAGTTGGTACATATAAACATATATGGTGGGACTGCTCAAAGGTGGCTGGATTTTGGAACGTTGTATTTGCTGAGTTAGTTTAGTTAGTTTCTTGATAGCAAAAGAAACTATTACTCCATCTTTTCACCTGGTGTTTTTGAACCTGTAAATGGGCTTTGAAAAATAAAGAACTTATTTGTCATCTCCTATCAGCAGCCTGGGCTGTATTGCCAAATTCTGGAACACCTTTAATCTTAGTAATTTGGATTGCTTGTATTCTACAGTTTGGCAAATTGCCCTTCTTGAAAATATATCCCACAAACTATACTTTTTAGTTTGTGGGATATATTTTCAAGAAGGGCAGAACTTGAATGACAGTTGCTTTGCTATATGGGATGATTTTATTTCTTATACAAATTTTGAGGCATTTAGTTTCTCAGTGTCACCAGTATATGCAAATTCCTGGCTCATGTCAGACTATATAGAACCTTTATTCTCAATAATGATGGTGGAAAACAGGTATAAAATTCTTTTATTTTTTAAAAAAAGATTTGTTATTTGTAAACAGAATCTTTGTATGAGTCAATATTTTACTATCCCTTTGTACTTTTGTCCTTCCAGGCTGTGGTGTTTTATGGTTTAAATTTTTAATTCTTTGTCCTCTTTCTTTTTGTTACATTTGCACTTTTTGTTAACAAATCAATAAAATATATATATATATTTTAAAAAAGTAGGCTTTCAGTGTTCAGTTTAATCTAAATCATGTTTTATTATCTCTGTTGTTTTTTATTTTTTTGTTTTGCCAGCTGTTAATCTTGTTGATTCTGTTATTGTGTTTTTATCACTAAAGATTTTTTAAAAAACCACCCAATGAGGCTGCAAAGCAGGGCTAGTAGAGGATGTGGAGAGTGTCCGGAGGGGGGCAGATCCCAAAGGCCAGATAAACAGGATTGCAGGACCACATTCATCCCTGGACCCGATGTTCCCCATCCTCAGTTTAGAACCAGGGTAGAAGGAATGGGAGAGGAAGAGACCTGATGGCCAATAAGCAAGGAATAATGAAAGAGCCACCTATTGCATCAGACCATCAAGAATGGCCTCTACTTCATTTGAAAGCAGCTCTCCAAGCAGAGACAGAAGCTGAAGGAATGGGTTTCCAAACCCATTGGTTTTGACCAACCCAAATGGTTGCAGAAATGAAGGAATGGGTTTCCAAAACCCAAAAACTGACTGTGCAGGCAGTTTTTAAACTGCACCAAAATCCCCATTTCTCCTTAGCTAAAATGCATAAACTTCAGCCGTTGAGCAAATGCAAAACAAGAACACAGCTCTCTCCCTTATCAGTTTGACGGCAAGACTGGCCTTGACTCTACCAGTAGAACAGACACAGACATATCTTATGTTCTGACCACAAATGATGCAGAGACCCAAGTCTGGGACTAACGCCAGAGCATGTTCTCGGAAGTAGTGACCTCTTGCTCCAAGATAGGAGTAGGAACAGGAATACCCTTTTATGGTCAGGAGTACAGGAAGGAAATCCCTTTTATGGTTAAGAGTGCTGGAGCAGGAACATATGTGATGTCAACCTACGTATACAAGCTGACGTGGTTGGAAGGAAGGAGAGGGTGCCTGGAGGATATAAATACTGCATGAAACTTGTCATTTCTTTGGACTTGCTGTGGACTCACCACACAGGTGCCTTCTGCTATCCGGAGAGCAGAATAAACTCTTTCTTTGAACCAACTCGGTGTCATTTTGACTTCCTTCCTCCTGTCACGGAGCAACGCAGACCCAATCGGTGAACTCCAATAAGGCTACAAAGCCTTTCCCAACTTGCCACCCAAGACTCTTAACAGGAGATGGCCAGCCTTGAATCTGGGATTTCATATAGGCAAAACAAGTGATCCTTCACTGAGCTTTGGACCACATTGTGGTGTGTGTGTGTTCTTTCAGTGTCTGAAGAATGTCCTGTAGCTTCGCAGTGAAAGCTGGTCCATTAGGGGAAGTCAACAACGACTCCACCAAACTTGGTCTGCCCTCGCCCAGCTCCAACCTGCCTCCCTTCTTATTTGCATCAAATCCAGGGAGTGGCACCTGTTGGGATCTGAGGTGAGATACCCACGCAGCAGAAGGTGCTCCCAGTTCCATTCACCACACAGAGGCAGCTTAAGGTCCAAAACAGTTTACTGCTGTAGAAGATAAGGCTTCATTAATACAGTTCCAGACGTTGATATAGACATACACCTTGTAGGCTTTGTAGATACAGTTACAGATATGGACAAGCGCAAGGTAGACATAAGGTGATGCAGCTTCAAGATGTAATACAGACTCCGACCCATGAGCAGACTCACTGACTAATGAGCTGACACATCCTACGCACTTAGATGGCACTGGGCCATTGCCATAGCAATTGGCTTGGCTGACCTTGCACCTAATCATAAAACCATAGGATAGTAGAGCTAGAAGGGACACAAGTGTCATCTAGTCCAACCCCCTGCAATTCAAAAATCTTCTGCCCAGTGTGGAGCTCAAAGATTTGTTCTCTTAGCTTCCTCCTCCTTGGTCTCAGTGTTGTCTCGACAGAACTCTTCAGGGAGAGGGGCAAAACTAGAATGAGTTGGCTCGGCCTGCCATTGACTCTGGCAATACCTGCTGTTGGGCTTCCTGGCTTCTTCCCTAACCAATGCTGGTGAACACCAACTAAAGCTGTACCTTAGCCAAGCCATGCTTTGGGGGAGTTGCTTTTGGGGGGACATTTCTCTATGATAAGCAACCCTCACATCTCATCCTTCCATAAAGAGCTCAGGGCAGCGTAGAGGAGGGGGGCCCTACTTTATCCTTCCGGGACCTCTATGAGGTAGGATAGGCTGGGAGATACTGATGAGCCCTGGGTATTTCTGTGAGTTTCATGACAGGGTGAGGATTTGAACTTGTGCCGTTCTGATCGCAACCTGATGTTCAGTCCACTGCGCTGCTCCAGATCTTCTCCACTTAGGATTCATATTTCCCTTTAATAGTCCAGCTTTATTTGTCTCCTTCCTCCCCCGCCACCTTAAATCACAGCTTTTGCAGAACTGCAGACTGACATCCACGAGCTGACTAGCGATTTAGATGGAGCTGGCATCCCGTTTCTGGATTACCGGACCTATACCATGAGGGTGCTTTTCCCTGGCATCGAAGATCATCCTGTGTTGAGGGATCTGGAGGTAAGCATCTTCCTTAAACACAAGAACACCAGAAGCTGCCTTATGTTGACACAGCCCATTGGTCCATCTAGCTCCATAGAACTCTCCAGGGTTCTAGAAAAGAGACATTCCCAGGCCTATGTGGAGATGTTGGTGATAGAAAGAGAGGGAGGGTGAGGGGAGAGACAGCAAGAAGGTCAGCACAGTGCTAATGCCCCGGCAGAACCCATCTGGGCCTCCTGCCAGTTTGTTTGCTCTGTGCCAACCTCCTCACTGCCTCATCCATCTTTGGAGAGGACTGGATATGCACTGTGTGTATGTGTGCTGGGCCCAGGGGTAACCCGTGAAACATGGTCCAGGTCCGGTCCAGAATCCGAAGGTTCCACTAGGAGTCAGTCCGACAGGACCAAGGACACGAGGCAGGAAACCAGGCAAGGACAGGTACAGGATCTCAGGCAGGATCTAGCATACAGCAATGTTGCTCCTGCAACCTGGGGTGGGGTCCAACAGCTTTTTATCTTTGTTGGGGTAGCGGCCAGTCCTGATCCCCCGGTGACTCACCTCCCTGTTTCTCCCGAAGGCGAGCACTCCTCCTGTGAGTACTCAGGTCTCTCCTTCTCTCAGACCTCAGTCTCTGCAGCTCAGGAGACGTAGGTGGGTGACTAGACCCAGGGGCTGCCTCAGCCTCCCCTGACCAAACCGGTAGTGGAGCAGCTGTAAGTGATGGCCCAGCTGAAGGCAATGAGGTAATCCCCACATCTGGAGCCAGGGCAGGCTCAGGCCCCTGACTTGGCCCAGCTGGTGTTTGTTGCAGGGGAACCTGTGCAGACTGGGACTCATCAGGATCAGGCCCCAGACTTGATTCAGATGCTGCCTGAGGCAAAGGATCTGGTGCAGACTGAGTCTCCTCTGGTTCCGATTCCGAGCCCGAGTCCCAGGCCATCACAGTGTGTTCGTGTGTGAGAGAATGCTGTGTATAAATGTTTCACTGCGTGTGAGAGAGAGAGACAAAAGGAGAGAGTTGTGGACTGTGTGCCGAGCGAGTGTTTGTGCTGTTTGTGTGGTGAGTTGTAGTTGCGTATGGGAGAGCATTCATTGGCAGCAAAAGTGAAGGGATGGAGAGCAGAGAAAGTGGATCCTTAGGCCACAAAATATTAGCTACTGTTATGTACTGAGTTGAATAGGATCCAAAACGCAGCAGTCTGATTGGTCCTAGAACAATAGGATCCAAAATAGAGCAGTTTGATTGGTCCTAGAACAATAGGATTCAGAATGCAGCAGTCTGATTGGTCCTAGAACAATGCAGCAGTATGATTGGTCTGCAGGAGCCACCCAATCCAGCTCCAGATGGAAGTGAATCCACAACCTGATTGGCCTACAGGAAAATTCCAGAATTAGCCAATCACGTGCAGCCCATTGTGTAAATAATGTATATAGAGCAGATACTTTGGGGAAACATTCATTCCTCCTCACCACTATGAGCTGAATAAAGAGCATGAAATCCACTCTCAACTCTGAGTATATTTCAGCTACCCTTGTGGCTAAGGAGTCCTGCAGCTCCTTTTGGACAGGGGCCCTTTCTGTGAAAGCCAAGGACGGCTCCTCCTCCTCCTCCATACCTCTGTGGCTTAGCGACATGTGCTTCTCCCTGTATTACATCACAAAGCAATAAGGAGCTCAGCTGGTCTTCATTCTAGTCCCAAGTGGCCATTTGATCTGCTGGATCAAACCAATGGCCTCTCTAGACCAGCATCCTGCTCTCACAGTGGCCAACCAGATGCCTGTGGAAAACCCGCCAGCAGGATTCGAGCACAAGGGCAACTTTCCCCCTCCTGTGGTTTCCAGTAACTGGTACAGTGGTGCCTCGCAAGACAAAATTAATTCGTTCTGCGAGTTTTTTCGTCTTGCGATTTTTTCGTCTTGCGAAGCACAGTGTCGGAAAAGTTTTGGAAAAGCTTCAAAAATCACCAAAGTCTTCAAAAACCTTTAAAAAGGCTACGACACCGCGTTTTATGAGTTGCTCCTCGAAGTCAAGTCGCAACTGTATTAACGGTGTTAAGAAAAAGGAAACAAACTTGCAAGACGTTTCTGTCTTGCGAAGCAAGCCCATAGGGAAAATCGTCTTGCGAAGCAGCTCAAAAAACAAAAAACCCTTTCGTCTTGCGGTTTTTTTGTCTTGCGAGGCATTTGTCTTGCGAGGTACCACTGTATTCAGAAGCTTTGCTGCCTCCAACTGTGGCTGATAGCCACTGATAGTCCTCTCCTCCATGAATTCATCTAATCCTCTTTTCAAGCTATCTAGCTTGGTGGCCATCGCTGCCTCCTTTGGGAGCGAGTTCTATAATTTAACTTCTTTTGTTGTGAAAACGGTTTGGCGTGGCCGGCCGCCTCTGCTGCGGAGTTGAGCAGACTGCAAAGGCATGCTGTGTGCCAGGGAGGGAAGAAGCCGAGGAGGTGGTGATGGCAGCCCCTCCTGAAAAATATTGGCAGGTACTATGCTGGCCAGGGTCCTGCAGAGAGAATTGAGGAGATCAGGACAAAGCCACGTTGCTTGATTCATCAAAGAGAAGCTGGCTTGATTCATCAAAGAGAAGCTGGCCAGCCCTTGTTCGGCCTTTTTTGTGTGTACGAATGTACCCTGCCCTCTTTGGCTTTGGTGCAGGGCTGGTGTGATGGTTTGTGTAAGCTCTTCACAATAAGCAGCCTCTGCTCGCTCAGAGAGATATTTACAGTTCTTTATTTTACATATGTATGGGACGCAGGTGGCGCTGTGGGTTAAGCCACAGAGCCTAAGACTTGCCAATCAGAAGGTCGGCGGTTTGAATCCCCGGGATGGGGTGAGCTCCCATTGCTTGGTCCCTGCTCCTGCCCACCTAGCAGTTCGAAAGCAGAAAGTGCAAGTAGATAAATAGGTACCACTCCAGCGGGAAGGTAAATGGTGTTTCCGTGCGCTGCTCTGGTTCGCCAGAAGCGGCTTAGTCATGCTGGCCACATGACCCGGAAGCTGTCTGCGGACAAATGCCGGCTCCTTCGGCCAATAAAGCGAGATGAGCGCTGCAACCCCAGAGTTGGTCACGACTGGACCTAATGGTCAGGGGTCCCTTTACCTTATTTTACATATGTACAAGCAGCACAGTACAACTTATGCCTCCGAATTGTCCTGTTCAGATTCGGGGAGTGGTCTTCTCCTGCTTCTCCTCCAGCAGAAGAGGTGGGGCAGCTTCATGGGACGTCTCTGATCCCTGCACTTTAACCCTCTCCTTTCCTGTGCCAAAGGCACAGGCATGGGCGCTCTGTCTGTCCCTGAGCTCCCTGTGCGGTGCTGGGGCTCTGGTTCAGCATCGGAGAGCCTTGACACCTCCTGGCTCCCTCCTGCTCTCTCCCACTCTCCCCCTTTCGTCATTTCCTGACCGTCTCCTTCTGACTGTTCTCGCTCTGACTCTTCTCCTCCCCCAAACTCAAAAGCATTCCTTGGCAGTCTCATGACAACTGGGCAGCTGCATTTCTTTGTACAGGACCTTGTACTTCTCCAGATGATGAACAGAAGCTGCCTCATATTGAGCCAGTCTCATTGGTCCATCTAGTTCAGTGAAGTCTACACTGGCCATTGCTGGCATCCATCTGTCTCGGAAGATCATGGCAAAGGGCACTTTTAGGAGTGAAGTCAAACCATTGGAGAATTGCAGCACCTGCTGTGGCTGTAGAGACTGATATTGGAGAGACATGTTTTGTTGCAGCTGGGGCAGAGGAAGGCGTCCAACTGTGCTGCTGCAGATGCACCAGGGTGTTTCTTCTCTCTGCATTCCTCCCAGTGGTCATTCCTCCTCTGCTCACTGCTGTGGATGCACAACCTGTTTGTCTGTCTCCAGGCACTGCCGTCGTCTGCAAGGGATTCCCACATGGTGGGGTTGATGTTGCCAGCCTTTGTGTCACTTTTGCTGACTTCTTTGTAACACTGTAATTCTGTGTAGACAGTCTACACCAGTGGCTCTCAACCTGTGGGTCCCCAGATGTTGTTGGACTACAACTCCCATAATCCCTGAGCTCTGCCCTTGCTAGCTAGGGGTGATGGGAGTTGTAGTTCAACAGCATCTGGGGACACACAGGTTGAGAAAGCCTGGTCTACACCATGGGTAGGCAAACTAAGGCTGGGGGCCGGATCCGGTCCAATCGCCTTCTAAATCCGGCCCATGGATGGTCTGGGAATCAGCGTGTTTTTACATGAGTAGAATGTGTCCTTTTATTTAAAATGCATCTCTGGGTTATTTGTGGGGCATAGGAATCCGTTCATTTCCCCCCCCAAAAAAATATAGTCCAGCCCCCCACAAGGTCTGAGGGACAGTGGACCGGCCCCCTGCTGAAAAAGTTTGCTGACCCCTGGGCTACACTGACTTATATGGAGCTTTATGTTAGACGCAGTGTTTCTCAAAGTTGGGTCCCCAGCTCTTGTTGAACTACAACTCCCATCATCCCTGAGCACTCGTCTTGCTGTCTAGGAATGATGGGAGTTGTAGTCCCAAAACAGCTGGGGACCCAAGTTTGAGAAACACTGTGCTAGAGGTACAGCTGGCCACCAAGCCATTGATTCTCTTCTTTCTCTCTGTTTTTGACAGGTCCCTGGGTATCGGCAAGAGCGGGTTGAGAAGGGCTTGAAGCTCTTTGCCCAACTCATCAACAACAAGGTCTTCCTCCTGTCCTTCATCCGCACCCTGGAGTCCCAGCGCAGCTTCTCCATGCGAGACCGTGGCAACGTGGCCTCCCTCATCATGACGGTGCTGCAGAGCAAGCTGGAATATGCCACGGATGTCCTCAAGCAACTCCTGGCCGATCTCATAGACAAAAACCTGGAGAGCAAAAACCATCCCAAACTGCTGCTTCGGAGGTAAGCCCTGGAGCAGGTGGTGGCTGTTGCTCATTAAATTTTCCACAAAAAGTGACACAAAGATAATTGCAAGCATTAAAACCGAGCACAGGGTGCCCACAACTTACACACATTTAACTTGTGCAGTTCTTTTTTAATAATATTTTATTAAGTTTTCATTTCATAATATATAAAGACATCCATATTACTCACATTAAATTTTTGCTCGCATGAGCTGGTCAACTTTCCCCTGCTCCCGCCTTGTGGTTACCATAATTCCTATCTATTTCATCACTTTTGTACCTCTTCCTCCTTACATTTCATCTGTTTCAATTTTTACATTTTAAGTAAATATAAAAAGGTATAAATCGTAAACATTACAAATCTTCTTAAGTCAATCCTGCTAGCGTTGTTAATTGTTTGCAATTGTCCTTCAAATATTGTATAAATTTACTCCGGTCTTTTTGGAAAGCTTGATCACATTGGTTTCGGATTTTCCCAGCTAGCTTCGCTAGTTGCGCATATTCCATCATCTTCATCCGCCATTCGTCAAGCGTTGGTAATTCCGGTTGTTTCCATTTTGGGGCTTAACTTGTGGAGTTTCAACTTTATTGTCATGGACTGGTTGGACGCAGAGGAGTGATGGGAAGGCACCAGCTAGAGAACCATCAAGGGAAGAAGGCTCAGAGCCAGGGGAGTGGTGGTGGGATGACAATGAGTAGTCAGAGGGAGAAGAGGGAGTAGACCGGGAGGAGGAGGTGTCGGAAGCTGAAGAGGCAACAGGGCTTAGTGAGCAGGAAGAGGCTGTGGCCTGATTCAGAAGTGGAAGCAGGAGAAGAGGGAGGCCAAGAGGCAGAGATGAGTCAGGCTGCTGAAGAAGCCAGGGTGTTTTCCCCTGCTGCTGCAAACAAGCCCCCCTCCACCAGGAGAGGTGTGAAGGAGGAGGAGCAAAGGCAGGCATGCCGGCGCAGTCTCAGATCGCTGGGGAAAGACCCGGGAGAGGAGGAGAATTAGGCAGCTGTGGGAAGGCAGGGACCTTCAGTTTTCGCAACTGCCTCACAGGAGCAAGACCTACTGAAGAAGAGTTGCTGAGCTCATTTGGGCTGGCACTCCTGTGCAAATCAAGTCTTTCTTTCTTTCTTTCTTCCTTCCTTCCTTCCTTCCTTCCTTCCTTCCTTCCTTCCTTCCTTCCTTCCCTCCACTTAGCATACCAGCTCTTGTGAGATCTTACGGGATGATCTGACGTCCCACTCATGAGAGCATCCCCACTGCTGCCAGCGTCAGTGGGCCTTGTCAGAGATTAAAAGGCGTCTGGTCACAGCTAATGAGCAGCTACCAAATTTCACCAGATATAAAACTCAAGGCAAACCCCATAGAGAAATTCAGACAGGGAGAATGTTATCCCTCTCAAATTCCAATTATGAAACCCATTTCTTCTTCTTTTTTGTCAGTGGTTTCCATGTAAATCCAAAATCTGAATGTTTGGCGTAGGAGGGCATGGCAAAACAGGCAAGGAGATGTTTTCCTGGGGCTCTGCATAGTTTATTTTTTTCTCTGCATTCCTTCTAGGACAGAATCTGTTGCTGAGAAGATGCTCACGAACTGGTTCACGTTCCTGCTCTATAAGTTTCTCAAGGTAAGAAGAACCAGTTTTGGTGACAACTTCATGCTTAACTGGACTGTTATTTCATTATTTGGAAACCCTGGTTGTTGTTGTTTTTAAGCAGTAGGCTTAGTATGGATGTTAGTATGTTGTTTTTAACATTGTTTGGTTTCACTGAGTTACCCAAGCTGGTTGGAAAAACAGGGGGAAACAGTGTGCCAAGAAGGGACCAAGGAAAAATACCATGGGAAGCTGAGGTTGTAATTTTATAGAATCATAGAATTGTAGAGTTGGAAGGGACCCAAGAGAGACATCTAGTCCAACCCAATGCAGTCTTCTTCTTCTTCTTCTTCTTCTTCTTCTTCTTCTTCTTCTTCTTCTTCGATCACTAGTAGCCAAGTAAGATTGTCTTCCATAAACACAGTTTTAACGAAGAGTCCATAAGTGACTGTGGAGGCCAATTCTGGATTCACACGTCCTTCCACATTTTCCCTCCCCCCCCCTCACCTCCCTAGATCAGACGCAGTTTGCAAGCTTCTTTACACATGTTCAGACACTCCCAGTTGTCCTCGCAATTGCAGTAGAAGCAAAAGCGGAAAAACCTAACAGCAATCCTTAACAAATTAAATTACTAGGTTATAATAAATCAAGGCTTAATGAATTATACTTAAGCAAATGTTTATGCTATCAAAGCCTCAGCAAAGGTGACTTCTTGAGATTTTGAAGCGTGGGGTAATTTACAGTTAAAATACTGTTCGTTCTTTATTATATTCAATTTATGAGCAGCGTATCAAAATATACTCACCGCATCTCTGTTTAAAACACTAATAATGCCTATCACTTGTTTTCTCTCTCCATATAATTAGGTGCAACAATATAAATAGGCTGACATATTCATGAGTCATAATATTATGCCCTTGTCATTTAAACACTGCAGATTCTTTCCTGGGTCTTTGATTTGCCCCCGCATTAGGCTACAGTTTATTTATATATTAATTCAGAAAGCTTCGAGTGAAGATGAGGAGAGGCCACCTTTGTCATCTTTCAGCTTCCCATTACAGTAACGCACTGGAACGAAAGCAGCCACACAAAACAGACCAGTGTGCCCTGGACTCAAACCCATCAATTACAACTGCACACTCTAATGCCCCCCAAAAACAAGCAATGGAAGTTTGGAGTCGATTGCTTGTCTCTTTCCTTATGGCAGACTGTCCAAGTGCCCCTATTTTCCAGGGACAGTCCCGGATTTACAGAAGCCATCCCAGTTTCTGATTTAATCCTGGGAATGCCCTGCTTTTCCTTAGGACATCCCTATTTTCATCGGAGAAATGTTACAGGGTATGGAGTTATGTGACCCCCAAGCCAAGGAGATCATAAAATCGTAGAACTATAGAATTGGCACTCCTGTCTTCCACTGCCTCCCGCAGTTTGCTCAAACTCATGCTGGTAGCTTCGAGAACACTATCCAACCATCTCGTCCTCTGTCGTCCCCTTCTCCATGTGCCCTCCATCTTTCCCAACATCAGGGTCTTTTCCAGGGAGTCTTCTCTTCTCATGAGGTGGCCAAAGTATTGGAGCCTCAGCTTCAGGATCTGACCTTCCAGTGAGCACTCAGGGCTGATTTCCTTCAGAATGGATCGATTTGATCTTCTTGCAGTCCATGGGACTCTCAAGAGTCTCCTCCAGCACCAGAATTCAAAAGCATCCATTCTTCGACGATCGGCCTTCTTTAGGGTACAGCTCTCACTTCCATACATCACTACTGGGAAAGCCATAGCTTTAACAATACGGACCTTTGTCGGCAAGGTGATGTCTCTGCTTTTTAAGATGCTGTCTAGGTTTGTCATTACTGTCCCCCAAGAAACAGGTGTCTTTTAATTTCGTGACTGCTGTCACCATCTGCAGTGATCATAGAACCCAAGAAAGTAAAATCTCTCATTGCCTCCCTTTCTATTTGCCAGGAAGTGATAGGACCGGTGGCCATGATCTTAGTTTTTTTGATGTTGAGCTTCAGACCATATTTTGCGCTCTCCTCTTTCACCTTCATTAACGGATTTGTAAAAATGTTACATGGAAAAAATATGAGGCATTACACTTCCTTCTGTAAAACAAGAAAATCCTTAATAATAATAATAAAAGGTTCTTTAATTCCTCCTCTCTGCCATCAAGGTTTTGTCATCAGCATATCTGAGGTTGTTGATATTTCTTCCAGCAGTCTTAATTCCAGTTTGGGATTCATCCAGTCCAGACTTTTGCATGATGAATTCTGCATATAAGTTAAATAAGCAGGGAGACAATATGCAGCCTTGTCATACTCCTTTTCCAATTTTGAACCAATCAATTGTTCCATATCCAGTTCTAACTGTAGCTTCTTGTCCCACATAGAGATTTCTCAGGAGACAGATGAGGTGATCAGGCACTCCCATTTCTTTAAGAACGTGCCATAGTTTGCTGTGGTCAACACAGTCAAACGCTTTTGCATAGTCAATGAAGCAGAAGTAGATGTTTTTTCTGGAACTCTCTAGCTTTCTCCATAATCCAGCGCATGTTTGCAATTTGGTCTCTGGTTCCTCTGCCCCTTCGAAATCCAACTTGGACTTCTGGGAGTTCTTGGTCCACATACTGCTTAAGCCTGCCTTGTAGAATTTTAAGCATAACCTTGCTAGCATGTGAATTGATATATTAACATATAATCATTTTTCAGTTTCTTTCTTTATTTAGACTTTGACTAATTTTCCTATTCATTAAATGTCTCCCAATATCCTCTTTCGCCTGTCTGCAAAACAGTTCAAGATAAATCACAATTGCCATGCCTCGCCTTTTCTCTTTTGATGCATATAGCGGCCACCATGGATTTTAAGAGTTTATTCTTTTCAGTGTTCCGGAATGAACATTTCCTACAATACAATGCCTAAAAGCAACTAGTCCGGTACTGAAAAAAGTAGGCAGGCACAGGCCTTTCCAATTTAGCTATAGCCTGAAAAGGAAATGGAATCATCAAGACGAGACGGTTTTATGAAATTATTATTTTCTCCGTCATGCAAAGCAGATGTCCCTCCTCTCAGCAAGGAGCCAAAGGTTTGGAACAGCACTAAGCTTAGCAGATCTGGAGACTCTGATCCAATGCATGTTCTACTTGGAGGCAAGTACTTCTCTGTGCGGCTTGCTCTTAAGGAAGTGCCGCTTGGACCTCTCAGTTCCAGCATTGTTGACAGCTAGTCCCCTAGAGCTGTACACATGGCTTTGTGTGGCTCCTTGTCTTCTGTGACCAAAAGTGGCAACGTGCCACCAATCGAAAGCGACAGTCACCCCTTTACACAACCAATTACCGCCAGTCGTTTCTGCCGCCTCTGAAGCTGAATGGCTTAAGGAGACTTAAGTAGATGTTCCTCCTCCCTCCTATGATCCGCCACCTTTTACAGCAGGAAAAAGTTTTGAAGGGCCCTGGAAGGTCGATTTGGTGGCTCCGGCTATCAGATTCCCATTTCCAGCTGAAAGTGGGGGAGAGAAAGGGAGGTGAGTCATTGAAAGCTTTGCTTTCATAATAGGCTATTTTATTTTCCCCACTCGGCTCCTTGTCTTCCTGCCTTTAGCCCGAAAAAACGCGGGCAGATAAGGGCAATAGGCATCCGCCTCGGAAGCAATATGCTGCCGGGAGATAAGCTAATTAAGTGGCAGGCAGGTGTTAGAGCACAGGAAAGACCCTACTCTGGGCTACAGAGGAGGGAACGGCTTCTGGGGATTTGCAGAGGACAAAAATTGAAACCGTTCTCATGGATTTCGGAGGAGCTGCTCAGGGAAGAGAGGCAGAAAACGCAGAGGAGAGTCATGGGAAGGCGGAAAAGAGGAGCTGAGCTAGAAGGAACGCAGGTGGAACTATGGGGCAGGGCAGGGACTGGTTGGCTGCAATTCTCAGCACACTTATGTGTCAATGTGCTTAGGATTCCTCCAGCCAATTCCTAGCAAATTCTTCCCTGGGTTTACACCTGCTCCACCCCTTCCTTCATTTGTGCCCCACATTGAATTAAATATTGTAAGCGCCTAGAGACAGGGACCTTCTTCACTTGAGCTTTGTGAACTGCTGGGCATGGCGCTGTCCAAATAAATATTGGGCAGGGAAATATTCGAGGAAGCAAGAAGTGCATTGAGATGGCTAATGTCACGGTTGGGATACCGTGCCAAATCAATACACATTTATCTTTGCATAATAGATCTAGTTGGCAGTTCTAGAGCCCAAATGTACATCCATGGCTTGGAGCTGTGATTTGACAACTTCCAGGAAGTGGCTGGAGCATACAGGCAGACCCTCCAGGTGTCCCTGTTTTCCAGGGACAGTTCTAGATTTACAGAAGCTGTCCCGGGTTTCTGATTTGATCCTGGAATGTCCCACTTTTCCTAAGGAAGTCCCTATTTTCATCAGAGAAATGTTGGAGGGTTTGGACCCCCAAGCCAAGGAGATGAGTAACTATACAACCTTTAGAAGACATCCCTGTATCGGATGTCTTCAGAAGGCAGCCCTGTATCAGGAAGGTTTATAATGTTTAATTATGTTGTTATATATGTTGGAAGCTGCCCAGAGGGGCTGGGACAACCCAGTCAGATGTATGGGCTATAAATAATAAGGTTGTTGTTATGGAATAGGATGTTCCTATTTTCATCGGAGAAATGTTGGCGTGTATGTGCAGCTGGAGCGTGCTCTGAAAAGATGGCGGCTGCAATGGAGCCATCTCCTAGGACTTCTGTCTCGCCATTTCTTTGCCAACTTTTCCTTCCCTGCAGGGATTGGCTCTCAGCTCTTTAGAGCCATGAAGTGGGTGGAACAGAGCACTGATGCAGGATGCAGTCTCCTCAACGTTCCAATTGATTGTCCCTTCCTTCCTTTCTTCCTTCGCCTCACTGCAGGAATGTGCCGGTGAGCCTCTCTTCTCCCTGTTCTGTGCCATCAAGCAACAGATGGAGAAGGGCCCAATCGATGCCATCACTGGGGAAGCCCGCTACTCCCTTAGTGAGGACAAGCTGATCCGGCAGCAGATCGACTACAAGACCCTGGTGAGTGATGGGGCCATTGATGTACCCGAAAGAGGAAATTGGGGGTGGGTTGGGACAAGGAGAATTGGAAGGGACCCCCAGAATTGGATGGGATCTCTTTTACCATCTGAAAGTTCTTCCTGATGTTTAGTCCGAATCTCAACAGCAGAGGAGAACAGCACCAAACCGATGGCAAGGAAGAAAGAGGTTGAAATTCCTTATATGCTAAAAATAGCAAGGGCTGCTGACTACTCTGGGTTCAAGGAGGCAACAGGGACTTGCAACAAAATGTTGCAGCACAGAGTACTCCTGCTCAGGGTGCTGTTGACCAGTCTTACCCTTTCCCAGTCTACTCCATTTCATTCCCTGCTCGCAAACAACAGGCAATGGTCACACACAGTTCCCCGGCCCCCCAAAAAGGATTTTTGTACTTCTGCAGACATCAAGGTTCCTCTGGCATGTTGATGCCCCCATGTGATTTCCTATGGAATATCTTTTGCCCAAAAGAATCTCTGCTCTTCTCCTTCCAGGCTGGTGAATACAAAGGAGCCAGCGCTCCAGGTCAATGATTGAATTCTTCCCTCCCCAAAAGCTGTCCTGTCCTTGCTTGCAGCTTTTTGATGCTAATCAGCTTTCTCTTTTATATCTCAAGGGCAGGCAAATCTACCCTGATAGGAATCTTAGCAGATTTGCAGAGATCCACTCCTCCCTGGAGATTAAAGAAGGAAAGGGAAGTGAATGACAGGCTTCTATCTCCCTGTCACCCTCCTCCAGTCTCCCCCCTGCCCCTTTCTCTAGCCATGACTCCTACAGTCTCTGATTTTTGAACAACAATAGCGATAATAAGAGGGGTTTTTTATTGTTTGCCAGAAGATATAAGGAACATATGCCTTAGAAAAGGACTTTCCATTGCTTGATGATGTTTTTCTAGCGCCGAGGTGAAGTTTTCACCCAACACTTAATTCTCCAGCAATTTGAGTGGGTGTTAAAGTAGGGGAGGCACTTTTTGCATCTATTCCCAGGGAGTGTGAAACCTAGTTTGGGTGGTGTGTGTGTGTGTGTGTGTGTGCGCGCGCGCAGGAATTAGCTTACCTGCTTTAGAACTTAAGAACATCTACATGCAGCCCCTGGGAGAGATCATCAGGGGGGTTGGGCTGGGTGTTCATCAGTATGCAGATGATACCCAGCTCTACCTCTCTTTTAAATCCGAACCAGCGAAGGTGGTGAAGGTCCTGTGTGAGTGTCTGGAGGTGGTTGGAGGATGGATGGCAGCTAACGGATTGAGGTTGAATCCTGACAAGACAGAAGTACTGTTCTTGGAGGACAGGGGGCGGACTGGTGTGGAGGACTCCCTGATCCTGAATGGGGTAACTGTGCCCCTGAAGGACCAGGTGCGCAGCCTGGGAGTCACTTTGGACTCACAGCTGTCCATGGAGGAGCAGGTTAATTCTGTCTCCAGGGCAGTTGTTTACCAGCTCCATCTGGTACGCTGACTGAGACATTGCCTGCCCACAGACTGTCACACCAGAGTGATGCATGCTCTGGTTATCTCCCGCTTGGACTACTGCAATGCGCTCTATGTGGGGCTATCTTTGAAGGTAACCCGGAAACTACAACTAATCCAGAATGAGGCAGCTAGACTGGTGACTGGGAGCAGCTGCCAAGACCGTATAACACCAGTCCTGAAAGACCTACATTGGCTCCCACTATGTTTCCAAGCACAATTCAAAGTGTTGGTGCTGACCTTTAAAGCCCTAAACGGCCTCGGTCCAGTGTACTTGAAGGAGTGTCTCCACCCTCATTGTTCTGCCCGGACACTGAGGTCCAGCGCTAAGGGCCTTCTGGCGGTTCCCTCACTGGAGGTTACAGGGAACCAGGCAGAGGGCCTTCTCGGTGGTGGCACCTGCCCTGTGGAATGCCCTCCCAGCAGATGTCAAGGCAATTAACAACTATTTTACTTTTAAATGACAACTGAAGGCAGCCCTGTTTAGGGAAGTTTTTATGTCTGATGCTGTATTGTTTTAATATTCAGTTGGGAGCCGCCCAGAGTGGCTGGGAAAACCTAGCCAGATGGGCGGGGTATAAATTATTATTAGTAGTAGTAGTAGTAGTAGTAATTTATTAAGGAATATATACAGGACAAAGCAATCATGGGGTGCTCTCACATATTCTCCAAGAGAAAGAGAGAAAGTACAGTGGTACCTCGAGTTACATACGCTTCAGGGTACAGACTCCGCTAACCCAGAAATAGTACCTCGGGTTAAGAACTTTGCTTCAGGATGAGAACAGAAATCGTGCGGCGGTGGCATGGCAGCAGCAGGGAGCCCCATTAGCTAAAGTGGTGCTTCAGGTTAAGAACAGTTTCGGGTTAAGAACAGACCTCCAGAACGAATTAAGTACTTAACCCGAGGACCACTGTACAAAAGTACAATACAGAAGAAGAGATAGAACCGACTTCCGTTCTCACACATTCCAAGCATGGAATGTCAACACAGACATGTGATGTAACAATCACACATCCAGCAACGGGAGAATGAAATATGCCCTGCACCCACCAGCTGAATAGGATCTTTAAAACTGAGGCAGGTCTATCAAGGAGGTTGTCGCTTTAAATGTTCCCTGGTCCCAGCGTACATTTAAGGCTTTCTGCTACATGCGTCAATCAGGCAATGCTCTTTGTAGTTGTTCCAGCCATGATGCAGTCCCTTCCTTCCCCTGGGGGTAGAAGACAATTCTATTTCACACACACACACACAAACACACACACGCGTACGTATCTCGTTTTCGCATTTGTTGAGGCAAGTAATGCACAAAGAGCAAAGATCACAAAACCTGATTCGAAGCTGTCACGGCGAACGTTTTATAATAAGCCCTTCGGGGGCAGAAGTGGACGGGGAAAAGCTGTCTGATGTGTCTCGAGTTTGTCACCGTCTCAGAACATGCTGGGTGGCCCCCTCCAGCCCCACCCCCGCCTTCTGTCCCCTGCACCCCCCTGCATCTCTGATCCTTACAGTCGAATCCGTTAATATCTGTTGACATCACATATCTACAAACATGCTCCCTCGCTGCCCCTGGATGAAAAACGCTCAGAGCCTCTCTTTGGTTAAAGCCCAGTGGGGAGTTTTTAATGTTGGCAACGGAGTCACTAATGAGGCTTAAAAGGGGTGTCCCATATGCCCTTTCTTCGGGGATTGATTTCGGCTGAGCCTAGGCACTTCTTCCTGCTTCTGAACAGATGCAGACATCCTGCTGTTGCTCTCCTCTGAAAGGGGAGGGCAGGGGGAAAGCATAAACCTTCAGCCACTTCCTGCTTCTGATAGATGATAGACAGATAGATAGATAGATAGATAGATAGATAGATAGATAATAGATAGATAGATAGATAGATAGATAGATAGATAGATAGATAGATAGACAGGTGATAGATAGATAGATAGATAGATAGATAGATAGATAGATAGATAGATAGACAGGTGAGAGATAGCAAGCAATATAGCAATATAGCAATACCTGGCTGCAGGATCAAGCCAAAGACCCAGATAACCACAATTACCTTGAATTTCAGCTTAACCCTCAAGAAAGAAGGGCATTTTCACTGGCCAGGTTTAATTCAAATCCATCAAACCTCCTTTGGGGAAGGTTCCAAAGGCAGGGTGGAAGGAGAAAGAACTTGCCCATGTGAAGACTACCTGGTGGAAACCCTTACACACATGGTTCTTAATTGTAAACTATATGCTGATCTCCATCAGCAATTTCTACATCAACTCTGTATCCCCAAATGGAAACCAGAGTTGGAGGTCATACATTTTCTATTACTGGGGAATGATCAGGAGCTCACCAACTTAGTAGCTAAATATCTCTATTTGGTTTTTTTGTCGTCAAAATACACTGCAGACGTCTGATCTCCCTGGAGACCTAGAGATGTGACGATAGACTGCTCTGCCTCCTTCCTTTTAGCAAATGTTTTGTGCCACTGGGGAAGTGGTAATTCTGAATTGATTTGTTTTGGATGTTTGTATGTGATGCCAATAAAAGGTTTGATGATGAAAGACCCAGATAGTCCCATATCCTCTTCTCACAGTGGCCAGCCACTGGGAAACTTGCAAGTAGGAATTTCCTCTCCATTGGGAAAAAGAAACTGGCAGCTGGATGCAGAAACCCTGCATGTATGGTCAGTTCTCTGCTTCCCTGCATAGTTTGGGCATCTGGGGGAACAAAAGAACCCCAGATGCAAATCAGCTGTGTGGAAAATCAAGGGTATCCAGGAGGACACATGGAGATATCTGTCCTAAGTCCACAGGAAGGTTGATAAAACTGGCGACTATGAGGCATGGCCCTCATCTGTGCTTTCAGGCCGAGGGAGCCGGTGTTTGTCCACAGACAGCTTTCCGGGTCATGTGCTTCTGGTGCAACGGGACATCGTGAGGGAAGCCAGAGCGCACCAAAATGCCGTTTACCTTCCCGCCTCAGTGGTACCTATTTATCTACTTGCACTGGCATACTTTCAAACTGCATTGGTGTGATTTTGGCAGCCAGTCTGTGGTGGAAGGCGAGGACAGTAAGGAAACACAGTGTGATCCCTGGAAACATGAATACAGTGGTGCCTCGCAAGACGAAAATAATCCGTTCTGCGAGTCTCTTCGTCTAGTGGTTTTTTCGTCTTGTGAAGCAACCCTATTAGCGGATTAGCGCTATTAGCGGTTTAGCAGCTATTAAAGGCTTAGCGGCTTAGCGGCTAAAAGGTGCTTAGCGGCTTAGAAAAAGGGGGAGGAGCGAAAAAAAATGGCAAGACTCGCAAGACGTTTTCATCTTGCGAAGCAAGCCCATAGGGAAATTCGTCTTGCGAAGTGCATCGAAAACGGAAAACCCTTTCATCTAGCGGGTTTTTCGTCTTGTGAGGCATTTGTCTTGCGGGGCACCACTGTATTCTGTAAAAGGTCTTTCAGGACCCTGGACAGAGCCCATGGAGCCGATGAGTTACCCCTGCAGGAACTCTTTATGCTCCCTGAGTCTCACTCCACCTCATAGTAGTATTAGTAGTAGTAGTAGTAGTAGTAGTAATAATAATAATAATAATAATAATAATAATAATTTATTATTTATTCCCCACCCATCTGGCTGGGTTTCCCCAGCCACTCTGGGCGGCTTCCAACAGAATATTAAAATACAATAGTCTATTAAACATTAAAAGCTTCCCTAAACAGGGCTGCCTTCAGATGTCTTCTAAAAGTCTAGGAGTTGTTCTTCTCTTTGACATCTGGAGGGAGGGCGTTCCACAGGGCGGGTGCCACCACCGAGAAGGCCCTCTGCCTGGTTCCCTGTAGCTTTGCTTCTCGCAGGGAGGGAACTGCCAGAAGGCCCTCGGTCGCTGGACCTCAGTGTCTGGGCACAACGGTGGGGGTGAAGATGCTCCTTTTCCCTTCTGAGGATGCAGAGCTGTAAAAGGGCAGCCTGGCATTCTGTCATCTGCCCACGGGCTCATGGTGGGCAGGGTTCCTGGCACTGGCACACTGATTCAGTTCATTGCAAGGCCTTTGGAAGCAAATATGCTGGTCCCGGGTGAGAAGTGAGTTTGCAAGCTCTGTGTGACTGGCTCAATGGTGGGGGTCAACCAGCACTACTGGTTCCCAACCATAGCACCTCAGTGCTTTCTGACTTTCGGGGTCATGTTGGGGGGGGGTTGTTTTTGTTTGTTACTATGCTTTGTATTTGTGCTTTTATATTGTAAACCTGTAATCCTCGAATGAAATAAAGCCTAGAAATTTAACAATTTAATTAATTAATAATAATAGCAGCAGCAGCAGCAGCAATGCACAACCCTGAGATCTCTTACCTGAGATCCTTTTAACTAGAGGTGCCAAGGATGAACCCGTCGCTTTTCTGCCATTAAACGGTGGCCTTTCTCCACTGTGCAGGGAGACAAAGTGGAAATAAAGAGGCAAGTTTCCCGTCTCTTTTTCCTCTTATCCAACGGTAGCTTTATCTTCTTGGGTACTGCCTGGTGGTTGGGCAGTTGCCTGAAGTGATAAGGAATCAATTATCCATGATAACTGATTTTGCCGAACATTTGCCTTACCAAACAGGGAGGGTGGAAATCCTTTGGGAGTGATTTTTAATTTTTTTTAATCATTTCACCGGCATGTGATTAATACAACATGTGAACTTGTGCCAAGGCAATATCACCAAGGGAGCTTAGTCTCGAATTATTATTAATTTGAAACTTAATGCTAACTGCTAAACATTTGCACTTAAAAGGAAGGGGAAGGGAAGGGAAGGGGGGGAGAGAGAAACCACAAGGTGTTTAGACCTCCATTTGAATTGAAAAGGGGTGTGCATTTCATTTTTCAGAGTCATTTTTCACTTCTGAGATCCGTTTTTTTTTAAATGAAAAATGAAACTCCAAGTTTCTAATAAATGCCTCTGAAGTAGCAGCCAACTTTCCCATTCTGCTCAGTGAATGGAAGAGGTTCCAAGGAATCCCCTCATCTGTTTTGCATTTAGCTTTTGACTGGGGCGGGTGTGAGTGGGTTTGTCTAGGGTGGGGGCAGGTTTTGGTGTGAAGCCAGAGACCTTCCTTGTAAAGGAAACCTGTAACCTGCCAGATGTCTGGGAGAAAGAGGTGACTTTGGAAAGCTCTGCTAAGAAATTAGGTTGGGAGTGAGAGCATCAGGATCAAGGCTTTCCATAATCTGAAGAAATTTAGAAGATCTCCCTGGGGCTTGGAAACAGGTTTGGCAATTTTTAACAAAAATACTGGCCTTCAGGAAAGAGACAAAAATGTACAGAAACATGCACAGTGGAGCAAAGTGCCAAAATGCACATGTTACTGGGAAAATGCATCTATCAGGGCAACATTTGATACAAAAATGTGTACATTAAGAGAAATTTGCACTAAACCGCTGGCAAGTTTTTATGTGCGCATTTAAAAAATAATAATGACAACAACCACAAACTGATTCAGAAATGGGGAGAACCAAACTTGATAGGTTAATGAGAAATGGAGAGAAACAGAGATTGAAAGATTTGTCAATCCATATGAAGGACCTTAGGGACGCGGGTGGTGCTGTGGGTTAAACTACAGAGCCTAGGACTTGCCGATCAGAAGGTCAGCAGTTCGAATCCCCGCGACGGGGTGAGCTCCCGTTGCTCGGCCCCTGCTCCTGCCAACCTAACAGTTCGAAAGCATGTCAAAGTGCAAGTAGATAAATAGGTACCACTCCAGCGGGAAGGTAAACAGAGTTTCCGTGCGCTGCTCTGGTTCGCCAGAAGCGACTTAGTCATGCTGGCCACATGACCCGGAAGCTGTATGCCGGCTCCCTCGGCCAATAAAGCGAGATGAGCGCCGCAACCCCAGAGTCGGTCATGACTGGACCTAACGGTCAGGGGTCCCTTTACCTTTGCCTATGAAGGACCTATGTTCAAAGCCCTTCTCCTTTCCTGCATGAGAACCTAAAACGTTGAGTTTCTGGGATAAGGATTCCGGCAATCTAGCAACAGTGAGCGGGTCTCGTCCTGGACTGGATCAAGCTGGGCTGCTGCCTGAGCACCCATTGGTGGTTTCTCAGCACCTCCGAAGGACAAACAGGATAAAAACACACACCTGATAATATAATATTGCAATTCCGTTCGAGCTGATGAGAGTACCTTATCTCCTACATCAATTTCAGACCTCCACTTTCTAACTGACAAACAGACGGCTGAAACCTTTCTAGCGCTGAGTTGGCACAGCTTGAAAGCAGAATAAGTTAGCGGTGATCACAAGAGGAGGACAGAGCGTCTTGATCTCTGTGGGGCAGGCAGTGGCATGAGGCCTTTGTGTGTGTGTGGCCTAGAGCGGCTACTACAATGGGCTGGAATGCCTCAGACTCCATGTTGCTTAGCAACCACCACCAGAGGAGGCCTTCAAGTTAACAAACCCTTTGTGAGCATTATAGCCTATTCTTTCCACAATCTATGGAGAAGATGCTACTCCAAGTTGCATACCCTCCAACATTTCTCCGATGTAAATATGGATGTCCTAAATAATAAATAATAATAATAATATACCCTACTCGTCTGACTGGGTTGCCTCAGCCCCTCTGGGTGGCTCCCAACATATATAAAGACATAGTAAAACATTATGAGGGTGTTCCTCAAGCAGACTTCAGCTTGTTCAAGGTCACCGAAACTCCTAGAGGATTGGAAGTCTGTGTAGCACACAGTAAAATGGCTCGGGGGAGCTTTCCAGAACTAGAGGACATTTGCCCGGCACAGCTGACATATCCATTCTTTGCCTGGATTTAAGCACTTTCACTAAAACATTATTTTTTATAATTATTTTTATTAGCTTCCAATTACAATAATCCAATAATAGCCTCTTTATAACAGTGCCAAATTATAATACAATTACTAATACCAATCATTCACATACCAAATTATGTAATTTAGGTGCCCCCCCCATAGCTGTCAACGTTTTCCCTTTTTTAAGGGAAATTCCCTTATTCCGAATAGGATTCCTTGCAAGAAAAGGGAAGCGTTGACAGCTATGCCCCCCTCGTGCTAGAATTGATGGTTTGATAATTTACTTTATTTCTGCGTTCCAAAATCTTATTAATTTCAATTACACTCTAGTCAAATTAACAATCCCTTATACAACGACTGCAATATTATCACTAAAACATTTAAATACATACCCCCCCCCAGGTTTCTCTGATGGAAATAGGGATATCCTAAGGAAAAGCAGGACATTACGGAATCAAATCAGAAACTGGGGTGGCTTCTGTAATCTTCCAGGACTTTCCCTGGAAAATAGGGAACTTTGGAGGGTCTGGAAAAGGATGATCTTTAGCAGAGAAAGGCACCTTGCCCATATGCTGTTTTGGGATCAGCCTCCTTGCTAAGCCCTATCCTCTGATCCTGTCTCCAACCCACAACCCGCTACAGGTCCTGAGCTGTGTGAACCCTGACAATGTGAACAGCCCCGAGATCCCCGTGAAGATCCTGAACTGCGACACCATCACGCAAGTGAAGGAGAAGATCCTTGACGCCATCTTCAAGAACGTGCCGTGCTCCCACCGGCCGAAAGCCGCCGACATGGATCTAGGTATGTGAGTCTCTTGTTTGGGTCGACTGAGCAAGGCGTCCAGCAAGCCTGCCAGTCAATTCACACAACCATTGGAATATATAGTAGCATGTGGGAAACTCCCTCAAGGGTTAGCTCTCAGCTTCTCTGGCCTACATCGTGTGGGGCTCAGTTTTCAGCATGCTGCCATTGTGGGGGGATTTTTTTGAGGGGTTCAGAACAGAGGCTCGCAGCAAGTTCCCAATTGGTCAGACTTTATTCAATAATGCATTACAGGACAGAGTCCAAAGAGTAGTCAAGAGCTTTTCATGAGGACACTATGTGGGGAAAATACATCCACTTGGCTGTTTCATCCTCTGGCCAACGCCCTTCTTTTTGCCACCTCATTGCTTCACCATCTCTTCAGCCATCCACAGTCCTGGAAAACACTAACTGTTAAGTTGTGGGTGAACATATCAGACAACACAGCGATTCTTCAAACAGCTCTTGTTTATTCACAGGCCAGAACAGAACTGAACTGAAGGGTTCAGCCAGCCTGCTTATATAGAGCTCCACTAGAACGCAACTGTCAGGGGTGCCTCAGGTCCCAGCTCACAAAGGACCAACGCCAGTGTCTCTTTATATACAGAAGTCTTTATTGAAGTTCATTGTTGGTTTTACATCCGTGGCGCGCATCCCTACGTCTGTAACTCTAGACCGTCGAAGCTCCATCTGACTCTTCCCCTCCCCTACACCAGTTTAACACCCGAGCTTTGCTCCACCTCTTCCTCTGCTCTTTTCTCCTCTGGGTCCTCCTGCCCCCTGGGGTCCCACCCCTCCTGGACTCTTCGGAGGCGGATTCCTCTGACTCCTCCCCCTGTCTCCGGCGGGCTTTGGGACCTGGCTCCCAATCCAGATTTTCTGCTGACCCGCGCGCCTGCACATTTGAACTTGGCGCGCGCGCCCAGCCAGCCACTTTCCTCCTAACGGCTACACTGCTCCTGTCACTGCTTCCTCCTTCAGAGGGGCTGGCTGGAAATGACCTCTGCTCCGCCCCTCCACTCTCCGACGGAGGCGTGGTCAGCTCTGGCTCTCTCTCTCTCCCTGCTAGAGTGGACGCCGGTTCTGATCTGTGGGTTTCTTCCCCCCGCTACGCTCTGGCAGGGAAGCTGGCCCTGATCTCCAGCTGCCGCTTGGGGACTCACCACTGGCCCCCCTTGCCCTGACCCTGGGCGCCTCTTTCTGAGAATCTTCTGATTCGCTGGAGAGACTCATGGAATCTCTCGGGTCACTGTCATACCCTCCTAAGCTCCCCTCAGATTCCTCCCCTTCGCTCTCCAACTCCTCTTTCCCCTTTGGCTCAGCCCCTGAGCCCCTGACAGCAACAGTAACCATTTTCTGTAACTATCCAATCACTGAACGTCACTTTCAATCCCTTATTTGCATATGTGGACCTGAGTGAAAACTATCTATAGTATCCCCCTGCTGGCCCAGGGTGAGAACTTCAGTACATAACACTAACCAGCCCCCTTTTTTACTGCACATTGCAGAGCTCTCCTTGTTGTTTTTTTACTCTAACCATCAGAGTTAGGCTTCCCTTTAACTATATATAGAATCTAGGCTTAAGGACATAAATACATAGCAAAACAAGAGTTAATCAGCAATAGCATTTCTGGTGCTTGTCTTGCTGAACCTCAAGGAGCTTGACTTAAATACAGTTCAGAGGGGAGGGGTAGATGACATACTGCTGCCATACAGGCTAGATGAAATATGGCTGACTCCCATATCCTTACTCCTGAGGAGGTTGACAGCAGCAAAAAGGAAGCATTGGTGAGGGCAATGGTGGTAAATCTCTTCTCTAGGCGCCTGGAAGTTAACCAACTGCTGGTGCAGGACTTACTGTACTAACCAGTTTGCCATAGCAACCTTCCTGGGAGGCAGGAGGTGCAGCCTCCCAATGCCCTGGTCATCTGGCAAAGGCTGGCATGTACTTCCCCCTGGTCTTGCAGTCCTAGGGCGTTTGAGTGTGTGTGTTTTGATTGGACTCAAAATTGCAGTTGGGTTGCAGCTCGCAAAAGATGGCTGAAGTCATGCAAATGCCTGCCAAGATCAACACCAGGAAGAAAGAAAAATCTCAAGCACAAATCGGCAGAAATGTGTCTGAAGTGAGTCTGGAAAAGGAGTGAGGGGCTGGGCAAGGTTGAGCGAGAGGCCAGCCAGGAGCTGGTTAGGGGAGAGAGGAAAGATTTATAGTTGGGCATTCAAGTTCTTGATAACAGAAGTCTTCGTTGGTGCCACCTTCTTGGTCTATGTGATTGATTGATTGATTGATTGATTGATTGAGTCAGTGTGGTGTAGTGGTTCAAGTGTCAGACCAGAAGCATGGAGACTAGGGTTCAAATCCCCACATGAAGCTTACTTGGTGACCTTCGGCCAGTCACTCACTCCCAGCCTAGCCTAACTCACAAGGTTGTTGTGGGAATTAGAGGAGGACGAGGAGAACTGTGTATGCTTCCTTGAGGTGCTTCTGGGAAATGTGGGGTATAAATGTGATGAACAATAATGCTAAATATTGATTAATTGATTGATTTGAGGTATATGGATACTGCCTTCCTGCCAAGGCACCTAAGGTGATTCACAGTTTAAACACTAAAACAAATACATTGGATTAAATGAAGACGGACAGAGTCCTGTCATGCCAACTGGGAGCTGAGCTCCCTGGGCTGGGCTCCTTCGCTTCTGGCTTCCCTCAGGGCATGCTGGTCTTTAGCAGCCCCCAGAAAAGGTGTGGAAGGATAACTCGCAATATCTCTCTCCAGCCTTTGATGGGTCTGTTAGTCAAAAGTCTGTGGGCTTCTGCACCAAAAGAACTAGATCGTTTGAAAGCATTTAGACTTTTCCCACCTAGGACTAGGGATGGTGAAGGAACTCAATTCAGTTTGCATACAAAGGGGAACCTGCCAAACCCGCCCTTTCCAAAACAATATGTGAACTGAAAGACAGCCATCCTACAAAATTCATGCTTTCCCAAATTTTGCGATGCAGTTCTCCAGCCAGTTATCACATATAATAAAGTCATACAGTGCAATAAAGCATGTATAAAATGCATATATCAATGAAAATAGCATTATACTGGGGAAACAGCTCCGTAAAAATGTGTATATAAGCCAAAGCTGCATGTAAGGTTGAAGGAATTCACACTAAAATGCTGGTGAATTTTGTGTATATACAGACACACAAATCACAGATTGCTGCAGAAATGTGGAAAACTGAATTGAAGACTGCGGAAATTAGAAACTGAGAGGCTTGAAACTGCCCCACGTCCTTCCAGACAAAGTTGTCTGACTTCCCACTTTACTTTCGTTCAGCATGGACACTTTTTGCAGTTGAACTTCTGCAGCGGGTTGCAAAATAGACAGCAAAAGCCGAGTGTTGGTTTTGCAAATGCATTTTAATTATGCAGTAAGGGAGTTGCTAGGGTCAAATCAAATTGGCAGCGGTTTTCACATTTCTGTATGAGAAGCATAAACAGAGGCTGTGGCGGGTGTCCCCACACTCCTTTTAAAAATTGTGAAGTTGGGCGTTGGAGCTTTCCGAGCTCCTGAACCCAGATATGTGTTGAATTTTGTTGCGGTCGCTCAGAGAGGGAAGAAGCATTTTGCACATGCTTAGAGCTGGGGTGGGAAGCCAACGTCCAGTTCACACTCTTCACGCCACTGGTGGGCAGGGTCAGAAGCAAAAGTGGGAGGAACAATTAAGATAAATTTTGCCTTTGTGTAGTAGGCTAGTTTCAACATGTACTCATACACAGCCCCTCTATCCTCCATCCAGGCAGGCAAAAACACAAGGCAGGAGGGTGGAAAGGAGGGCCAACAGGAGTATGGCTTGGGGAGAGTCCTGAGGGCCAGATAGAAAGCTCTGGAGGGCCACATTCATCCCCTAGGCCTGAGGTTCCCCACACCAGCACAGAGGCACTCTATATTTTTTCTTGCAACACAAGCCCTGGATCAGAGGAAGTCTTGGGCAGACTCACATTTGCAGACTGAGAGCCAGGAAGTCTGACCACAGTCACCCTCCTTCCTTCTCTCTTGTGGTTCCCCCCATGTCTCCTGGTGAGGAAGGTCACCTGTGATTCTCTCTCTCCGCAGAGTGGAGGCAAGCGAGTGGAGCCAGGATGATCCTTCAAGACGAGGACCTCACAACGAAGATCGAGAATGACTGGAAAAGGCTCAACAACCTCGCTCACTATCAGGTAATCTGGAATCTTTGCTGTTCTTACCCCTTGAATTCCAGGGACCAGGTTGACTTCATCACAAAAACAGTTAAAGCAAATGCAGTGTTAGCCCTCTGCCTGATGTTTATTAGTTTACCAGATGTAGGTGTGATGGCCTGGGACTCAGGCTCGGACTCGGAGCCAGAGGAGACTCAGTCCGCACCGGATCCTTTGCCTCAGGTGGCATCTGAACCTAGTCTGGGGCCTGATTCTGAAGAGCCCCAGTCTGCACAGCTTCCCCTGCAACAAGCACCAGCTGGGCTGAGTCAGGGGCCTGAGCCTGCCCTGGCTCCAGATGCGGGGATTACCTCTTTGCCTTCAGCTGGGCCATCACTTACAGCTGCTCCACTACCGGTTGGGTCAGGGGAGGCTGAGGCGGCCTCTGGGTCTAGTAACCCACCGACATTTCCCGAGCTGCAGAGACTGAGGTCTGAGAGAAGGAGAGACCTGAGTACTCGCAGGAGGAGTGCTCGCCTTTGGGAGAAACAGGGAGGTGAGTCGCCGGGGGATCAGGACCGGCTGTTACCCCGACAAAGATAAAAGGCTGTCAGACCCCACCCCAGGTTGTGGGGGCAACATTCCTGTTTGCTAGAACCTGCCTGAAACCCTGTGCCTGATCTAGCCTGGTTGCCTGCCTTGTGTCCTGCCTTGGCCCTATCGGACTGACTCCTTGCGGAATCCTTGGATTTGGGACTAGACCTGGACTACGTTGACTGGGTTAAGCCCTGGGCCCAGCAAAGTAGGGAGGGAGTTTATTTTTCAAACTTTATGAAAGAGCTGGATCAGAGGAATGACAAGTCGTTCCATTCTGAGCCATCAAGTGGGTGCCTCTCCCTGTCTTCCTTGACAGGCGACTCCGTCACCTGGTGACATTCAATCAGAAATATCCAGCTTAGGAGAGAAAACAGTTCCCCCAACTCCTTTCTTTATTCCAGCACGCGCGCCCCGCATCGCCTTCACTCCCCCTGTGATGGCATCGGATGAAATGTCAGGCCACAGATTAGAAACAGATTGGAAGCGGAGATGAGATAATGAGGAGGACAGCAGTTAATTCCATTCAGGCAGGGGAAGGAGATTGATGCTTTCGGTCCTGAAGGGAAATGCCACAACTCCCCAGAGGACCCTGCATGCTAACTAACAGGGCAAGGGGGGGAGGGCTAGGTTCGGGGGATACTGTGCCTTCATTCCCAACAATGGCAGATGGAGGCAAGTCACTTATTCGCCGAAGAATTGATGCTTTTGAATTATGGTGCTGGAGGAGACTCTTGAGAGTTCCATGGACTGCAAGAAGATCAAACCTCTCCTTTCTGAAGGAAATCAGCCCTGAGTGCTCACTGGAAGGACAGATCCTGAAGCTGAGGCTCCAATACTTTGGCCACCTCATGAGAAGAGAAGACTCCCTGGAAAAGCCCCTGATGTTGGAAAAGATGGAGGGCACAAGGAGAAGGGGACGACAGAGGACAAGATGGTTGGACAGTGTTCTCGAAGCTACCAGCATGAGTTTGACCAAACTGTGGGAGGCAGTGGAAGACAGGAGTGCCTGGCGTGCTCTGGTCCATGGGGTCACGAAGAGTCGGACGTGACTAAATGACTAAACAACAAGAAGTCTCCTCTGCAGAAGCTGAGAGGGAGATCTATGGGTGGAAGAGGAGGCCCAAGGGTGGAAATGGAGGTCCATTTCTTCTTGACCCAGCATGGAAAGGTCCTCTGACGTTTCTCTGGCAGTTTTCCACTGACAGTGGCCTTGAAAGCAAGCTGTGCTGCAGCCAGGCAGGGCTAGATAGCATGCTACCCACCAAATGTTGTTGCCTTACAGAACCCAGCATCCTCAGCCATTGGATGTGGTGAAGAGGTGTTCAGCAGTGGAACAGAGGTGGCAGGCAGAGATTTTAAAACAGAGGTCAGATGGCCATGCGTGAGAGATTAGTTAGCTGTCATTCCTGCATTGGATGGGGTTGGACTCAGTGACCCTTGGGGTCCTTTTCAAACTTACAGTCCTGTGGTTCTGATATTTCTGGAATGACTGGCTCATACCTCAGGGAAAGCCTTCTTAAACAAAAACGCTTCCAGTAGACACCTAAATATCATGATGCAGGGTGCTGTTTGCAAAGGCCGCTGGAGAGGGGCTTCATCCAGATCAGAAGCTCATCCCTGCCTGCTTCCGCCACCTTCAAATGGCTATTTTAACCACACTTTTCAAAACAACACCACCACACATTAATTTTAGGTTAGATTTTAGTGACTAAGTTTTAATTTATATATTTTTAACTGTTGCTGTATCTGTATTGTCCCTGTTATACCTAATTGTAAATTCAAATGTATCACTGTCATGTTTTATGACTTCCTTGACATTGTATGTGGGCTGGAACTGGTCTGTGACCGAAATAATAAATAATAATAATAACACACATTCCTTGTAACAAGTAGTGTGGACAAACGTCTGTGTCTAGAGCTGCCTCAGGATCGCACAGGATTCTTCAGAAACATTTCCTAAGTTTGATCAGGAGGCTGGAGTGGAAGATCTGTTAGATCTACTCAGTCCCAGCCTTCCAACATTACAACTGAGAACTTGAAGGGATTGAATCGCAGAAGGCAGGCAAACCTGAAAGCCACAAGAGGCTTTTCAGCAAAAGGCTATTAGCGTGCAGGATCTTATACCACCAATTGGATAGCCACCAATGTTTCAGTGGGACACTGTTGACCCTCCTCCCTTCATGCGAGGACGAGAAGACTAACTTGCAGGTGTTAAAAGCCACCTTTCTGGGCTCCATGAAGAGCTGGCTAATTAGCATCTCAGAGATGCTTTGAAGATGAAGGCACTCTGTGTTAAGTGCTAATTATTGTTATTGCTGGTAGAAGAGCTGGCGTCTCTTCCCCAGGTCCTCTCCCTCTCCCTTTCTTCTCGGAATTACGCATTCTTCAAAGATGTTCCCGGCGCAGCTAAATATTCTGTATTGTTCCGCCTGCTTTTTGAAGAGAGGCTCTGAGAGGGCATCAATCAGGAGCTGGAAGGCTTCCCATCTTTTGGAGAGCTTTCCGCTCTTCTGGGCTTCAGGTGGCCTCTTGTGGCCCACAGTCCCAGAGACCTGCAGCCATAAATCCTTCCTCAAAAGTGCAAAGTAACCCCAGGGCCTGTTCAAGGCTTCATTCTTCACCATTCTTACCTCTGACCGCCTGCCAGCTGAGCCACTGCTGCATCCCAGGAGGTTGACCTGGTGCAAAAATGCTGGCAAGAGCACCAGATTGGCTCCGCTGGTGTGTTTGCACCATGCTGACCTCACTGCCATTTCCCCCTTCTCTCTCCTGATAAAAGCTGGCTGTATGTGTTGTGTAGCCTGTGGCAGAGATAGGCAACTTCCTTAGGAACATAGGGGTAGACTATTGGTCCATCTATCTCAGTACTGTCTACACTGACTGGTAGTGACTCTCCAGGGTTTCGGATTGGGATCTTTCCCAGAACTGGAGAAAGCTTCTGAAGCTCCCAAACGACCGACCAGGAGAGAGAGAACATGCCAGTCGGGCATGTGTCTCTACCAGGGTCCTACACGAGTGTAGGACGATCCTAACACTCCCCCTCCTCTTCTTCCATTATCTCCCAGCTTTGTCCTTCTTCCGTCTCAGAGCCATGACCTTCTGCAAACCACTGTTGTAAATCTATCCTGTCCTCTTCCTCTTGGGAAGGTTCAGGAGGAGTGGGGGCTAGGCTCCACCATTCCTCTTCAGTCCAGTCCCTGACACTATGGCTCTTTCCCTTTTTAGGTGCCCGATGGATCCGTAGTGGCTCTGGTGTCCAAGCAGGTGACAGCCTACAATGCTGTCAACAATTCCACCGTCTCCAGGACCTCTGCTAGCAAGTATGGTAAGAGCCTGGGCACCCTGAGGACAATGGGGGTGGAGAGGGAAGGGAGTCCAGGCCAGGGTGTAAGGCTCACATCCTGGTCTTCCTCATGATAGGGATGTGGGTGGCGCTGTGGTCTAAACCACTGAGCCTCTTGGGCTTACTGATCGGAAGGTCAGTGGTTTGAATCCCCGTGACGGGGTGGGCTCCTATTGCTCTGTCCCAGCTCCTGCCAACCTAGCAGTTCGAAAGCAAACCAGTGCAAGTAGATAAATAGGTACCACTGTGGCGGGAAGGTAAACAGTGTTTCTGTGCACTCTGGTTTCTGTCATGGTGTTCCGTTGCTCCAGAAGTGGTTTAGTCATGCTGGCCACATGACCCGGAAAGCTGTCTGCGGACTAACGCTGGCTCCCTCAGCCTGAAAGCGAGATGAGCACTGCAACCCCATAGTCGCTTTGACTGGACTTAACTATCCAGGGGTCATTGTCCTTTACCTTTTACCTATTCCTCATGATATGCCCAAAAGCTCCAAAACAACTATCACTGTGCAACCTCAAATTGCCAGCGTGTGGTTGAATTTCACCCCAAAACAGTGGCAGTCTGGAATTGCCTTGTAAAGTCCTGCACTGAAGTTTGTCGGATTCACCTCTGGGTTGCGCTGGGTTTTCATGCCATTATTTGGAGAGGTAGAGATATTTGTGGAAAGAAGAAGGAAGATTTCACACCCCTTTACGGTGCATGCTTACCCCAATTATCAGTTTTGCACTCCTGACTCTTCCCTGGTGGGGGTGGAAGGGCTAAAAAGAAAGGAAAGAAAATGGTAGCACCACATTCTGATACAACCCACCTTAGGTCAGGTCATGACCCAGCAGATGAAGGCCAATAACTTAAGCTCTGTCCACGATGCTCCAGGATGCTCCTGGCAGTAATTAATACAGCTTGCAACTCATTAGTGCATTTTCCAAGATAGATATTGCCCTCCATGGTGACCTCTGATCTTAGCTCATGGCAGATGACAATTTGGTCCCACTTTTTGCATTAACCTTATAAAGTGTGGTGTTCCCCATTCAGCGCCATGATTTGCATATCCTTCTAAAATCTACAAGAGCAGCAGTCAAAATCATACTCGGGGAATTTGAGCACCAAGCATAGCTGTCAACCGTCCCTTATTTGGCAGGAAAGTCCCTTATCCCAGCGCCATGTCCTGCTGCTGTCCCTTATTGATGATGTCCCTTAAATTTCCCGGGTTTCAAAGGAAGCAGCTCCTCTCCCTCCCTCCCTGCCGGCCAGGGAGGAGGGAGGCTCCAACTGTGTTGCTTGGCTGCGTTGCTCACCCAATAAGGAGTCTGAGAATGACTGGGGGGTGGAGTTTGCATGCCTTGTGCCAATCAAATCGGCCGCGTTGCCTGGGGGCTCGCCTTTGCTCAGCGCTTCCCAGCGGAGAGGTGACGGTGGTTTTCCCTTGCTGCATCCCCTTTGCTGGGTTGCTGCGCTGTGGGAACCACCGCTTGAGGCTTCGTTTGGCTGCTGGCTGGGTTTTCTGCCTTTGGCTCAGAGGGACTCAGAAGTTGAACATACCTGTGCTGGGAAAATCCCTTATTTTGGCTGCTGATCCCTTATTCTCGAGGCTGCTGGTCCCTTATTTTCAAATCTGTAAGTTGACAGCTATGGCACCAAGCCAGAATAGTAGGCTCAAAAGCCCAGCGTGGTTAAGAGATTATTGTCCGTGTTCATGTGAACAGATACATAGCCAACTCTAGCTAAAGAGCTTCAGGGGGGTGGGGGCGGAACCTGATATGATAGAAGAGAAAGACAGTCTTGCATACTATGTATCAGTTTTTCCCCAACCTGGTGCATTCCTCATGTTTTGAACTACAGTTCCCAGCCAGCTTTATAAACATGTATGTTTGTCTAAACCAGAGTTTCCCAAACTTTGGTCTCCAGCTGTTTATGGACTACAACTCCCATCATCCCTAGCTAGAAGGACCAATGGCCATGGAGGATGGGAATTGTAGTCCAAAAACAACTGGAGATCCAAGTTTGAGAGACACAGCTCTAAACAAAAATGTTTTTAACAGGCGCCAAAAAGAATACAGCGAAGGCACCTGCCTCAGGTCAATAGGCAGGGAGTTCCAAAGTATACATGCTGCCATACTAAATGGCCAGTTCCTTACAAATGTGGAACACATATTATGTGGCCCTGTAGCAATGCCAGTTCCGCCGATCTAAGCAGTTGATTTGGCATATATGGGGTAAGGCGATCTCACAGGAGAACTGGCCCCAGAACTGGTTACCCAGCTTGTCCTTGAAGAAAACATCCTGAAGCTATGGGATTTCTCCCTTTCAGAAAACATGATCCGCTACACAGGCAGCCCAGACAGCTTGCGCTCCCGGACGCCCATGATCACACCTGACCTGGAGAGTGGAGTCAAGATGTGGCATCTGGTCAAGAACCACGAGCATGGAGATCAGAAGGAGGGCGACCGAGGGAGCAAGATGGTGTCAGAGATCTACCTGACCAGGCTGCTAGCGACCAAGGTAGGGAAGGGTTGTGGGGACCGGGGAATAATTTGGTGGAGAAGGCTTTGGAGGACAGGAGGTACCAGTACTCTTGGGATCTTAGAAGCATAGAATTTGGAAGTCCAACCCCCTGCAACGCAGGAATATTTTGTCCAACGTAGGGCTCAAACCCTTGTCTTGGCAGGTAAGAGATGAGAGGATGATTTTGTGGCTGGGTTTACCTCTTCATCTGCAGTGTTTCCTGCTATTCAGAAGGTACCCAGACTTCACCCCCTTTAAATGCAACAGTTAATATTCACAATCACTGCAAAGTTATCTAAAGTCTATGCATATATTCTAGTACCTATGGTTGCCAGTCTTCATATCCCATTTGCAGACATTTTCGTAATGCAGAGTTGGGCCTGGTCCCAGAAGTCCTCTAGACCACACCCTTGGGGATCCTGCCCTCTTCCATTCTGTGGACATCACCAAGCTAGTGTAGATGTCGCTGGAAAAATGTAAAGCAATCTAGCCTGCTACACCTCCAGAAGGGTAGGGATTCCAGAGTTCTGGCGTTCCTTATAGGGCAAGGTGAATGTCAGTCACAAATCATTTGGGTCTTCTGAAAGGAAAGCGTCAACACGGCTTCCGAGAAGAGTCTTAGCAACCAGGGAGACTTGGGTGAGCTCCTGTTGCTCAGTCCCTGCTCCTGCTAAGCTAGCAGTTCGAAAGCACGTCAAGATGCAAGTAGATAAATAGGTACCGCTCCAGCGGGAAGGTAAACGGCGTTTCCGTGCGCTGCTCTGGTTCGCCAGAAGTGGCTTAGTCATGCTGGCCACATGACCCGGAAGCTGTACGCCGGCTCCCTTAGCCAATAAAGCGAGATGAGCACCGCAACCCCAGTGTCGGCCATGACTGGACCTAATGGTCAGGGGTCCCTTTACCTTTACCTTACTAATTATTATTTTTTAAAAAAGTAACATATTTACAGACCCTCCAACTGTCCCTATTTTCTCGGGACGTCCCTGATTTAGAGAAGCTGTCCCAGTGCCTGTTTTTGAATGCCCTACTTTTCCTTAGGATGTCCCTTTTTTCATTGGAGAGATGTTGCAGGGCATGTATTTAAATGTTTTAGTGAAAGTGCTAAAATCCTGCGATTTTAGTGAGAATACTTGTAGCACGAAGTTGGAAATGTGAAAAAAACACCAACAACAACAGCACTTATGATAGAGTATCTCCAACTAGCAAAGCTGATGGGAAAAGTCAGGGGAGCCTTAAATCAGAAAGTATATGGAGAATGGAAAATATTTAAGGAATATATAAGATTATACTGTAAAAATGATACCATCCTAGCAGAACTGGAATGATACTTGTGTACAATAAATGAATGAAATAAACATCCTAGCAGAACATATGAAAAAAGATATAAAATTAAACTGTGCGATAAAATAATGATGAGAAAAAGTATAATAAGAACGATTGGAAGTTTCATACAGAAAACTTTATTGGATAAGACATGATGTTGTATAAACATTTGGTCTTTATCATTTCTCTTTTCCTTTCTTTTATTTGTCTTCTTAAATCTTTTCTTGCCTTTTTTGTCGTGATGAATCTTCCCCCCCTTCTTTTTGTACTTAATTCTGTTATACTTACCTTCGTTGCATGATTGCATTTTAAAACAATAAAGATTTATATAAAAAAAAGAAAGAAAGTGCTAAAATCCGGGCAAAGAATGGATATGTCAAGGGTGTCGGGCAAATGTCCTCCAGTTCTGGAAAGCTCCCCTGAGTCATTTCTTTTTATATATATATATATATATATATATATATATATATATATATATAAATTTTATTAGTATTTTCCACAAAACAGCAACAAGATGAAAAATATCGAAAAATAACAATACACAAAAACCAACATTCGAAAAACTAAAAAAGCAACAACAACTAAAAAAACCCCCAACAAATCCATATCTTACAAGTTAATAATATAGTTTTTTTTAGTGTTTATATTATTAACCCCCTGAGTCATTTCACTGTGTGCTGCATGGACTTCCCATCTTCCAGGAGTCTCTGTGACCCTGAACAAGCTGAAATTTGCTTGAGGAACACCCTCATAATGCATCCTGTTGTCTGGAACGCAATAACCATTCTCTCCCTCCTCTAATGTTTAGGGGGGGTTGATCAGGAGGAGCGTTTAGCGGAGGAGGAGAGAGATGGAGAGAGTTCTCCAGCGGACTGGTTGACAGGGGAAACAGCCTCTCTGCCGAGGTGCTGGCCTGTATGAAGGTGCAGGCAGGCGAGCGAGCCGGCGGTGAGCACTCAATCTGTCACCGCGCTCAGCCTTTCATGGGAGATGATTTGCCTGACAGCTCTATAACTCTCTGCAGTTGACTTTCAGCCCGAGAATGCCACGGACGGCGCTTTAACACTTGATGCCTTCCGCGTGGCAACACCTCCTTGTCGCTCAGCGCCGGCACTTTGTTATTTACACAGAATTGGTTTTGCCGACAACTTCGCAGCGCTGCGCGGAAGCAGGGCAGGCAGAAGGGGGCTCCCCATCAGCGCTGCGTTAGGAAAGGAAAACGGATCGCCGTGAGGCAAGCTTAGGGGTGGAGGTTGGGGGGGGGCAGCGTCTAAATTTTGCATCAAGAGGAGCAGGCGGGTGAAGAAAGCTGAACTCAGCCTACTTGCGGACATCCAATGGAACCTTGGAAAATCCAAGACAGACCAAAGAAATTAGTTCTTCTCATGCATAGTTAAACACAACCATTCTGGCTAGTAGCCATTGAATTTGCTTAACCCTCCCATTCCTAAGGAAGTCAGATTATCCTCCACCAGGGCCAGGGCCTTCTCAGTGATGGCTCCGACCTGGTGGAATGCTCTGTCCCATGAGACCAGGGCCCTGCAGGATTTAACTTCCTTCTGCAGGGCCTGTAAGAAAGAGCTATTCTGCCTGGCTTTCAATTGGAACTTAGCCTGATCTTTTATTCCCCTTCCTTCCCTCCCCCTCCCCTTTTTATGAAGATTACAGTGGTACCTCAGGTTACATACGCTTCAGGTTACAGACTCCACTAACCCAGAAATAGTGCTTCAGGTTAAGAACTTTGCTTCAGGATGAGAACAGAAATCGTGCTCCGGCGGCGTGGCAGCAGCAGGAGGCCCCATTAGCTAAAGTGGTGCTTCAGGTTAAGAACAGTTTCAGGTTAAGAACGGACCTCTGGAACGAATTAAGTACTTAACCCGAGGTACCACTGTACCTGCTCTTGGATCTCACAGCTAATTCTCCCCTGGTCTCCTTGCTGGCCCAAATAGGACTAATTTAGCCAGCTAGCCCTGGTGATCATCTAATGTTTGTTGGATGGATTTTCCCCCTAAATTGATTTTTGAATTCTGAATTTATTGTTATTCACGTTTTATCCTGTATTTTATGCTGTTTTTTGTTGCATCAATTAAGTGTTTTAGATTTGTTGTTAGCCGCCCTGAGCCCAGTTTTCTGAACTGGGAAGGGCGGGGTATAAATAAAATATTATTATTATTATTATTATTATTATTATTATTATTATTCCCTCACCTCATAAGCAAATGGGGCAAACATGTAATAAATGGATCTTGCTGTCCCCATCACCTCTAATTTGACTCTCAAAATGAGACCCTTGTTATCTGAACAACGTGCAAATTTATGTAAACTTATTTGAGCAAAAAGTGAATGGTGAATGGTGGAAGAAGAAGAAGAAGAGTTTGGATTTGATATCCCGCCTTTCACTCCCTTTAAGGAGTCTCAAAGCGGCTAACATTCTCCTTTCCCTTCCTCCCCCACAACAAACACTCTGTGAGGTGAGTGAGGCTGAGAGACTTCAGAGAAGTGTGACTGGCCCAAGGTCACCCAGCAGCTGCATGTGGAGGAACGGGGAAGCGAACCCAGTTCACCAGATTACGAGACTACCACTCTTAACCACTACACCATACTGGCTCTCATACTGGAATGCCCTCCCGTCATATGTCAAGGAGATAAGTAACTCTACAACCTTTAGAAGACATCTGAAGGCAGCCCCCTATAGGGAAGTTTTTTAAAAAATGTTTAATGTTTTATTATGTTTTTATCTATGCTGGAAGCCACCCAGATGGCTGGGGCAACCCAGTCAGATGGAAATAATAATAATAATAATAATAATAATAATAATAATAATAATAATAATATACCAGAATAAAGCCTTTAAACAGCTGACAATTCTAGCCACAGATGGGGCAAAGATTTTGATAAACCTTCATGGTCAAGAAAGGGACCCAGTTTTGAAAAACACACACACAAACACAAACAAAGCCTACAATGTGTACTACTCACCCAATTGTCTAGCTCAGCTGGTTAGTGTGTAGTGCTGATAATGTCACGGTTGAAAGTTTGATCCCTGTAATGGACACCTGCACATTCCTGCATTGCAGAGGGTTGGACTAGATGACCGTCATGGTCCCTTCCAACTCTACAACTCTGATCTTCCTAGATCAGTGTTTCCCAACCTTGTGCCTCCAGCTGTTTTTGGCCTACAATTCCCATCATCCCTTGCCACTGGTCTTGCTAGTCAGGGATGATGGGAGTTGTAGGCCAAAAACATCTGGAGGCACAAGGTTGGGAAACACTGTCCTAGATCATTTCAGTGGTTTGGGAAGCATGTAGCAAGAATCAGTTCCGCAGGCTGGAATGCTGCACAACGAGGAATCCGACAGCTTTGGCAGTTGTACATTCCGGAGTGAAAACATTTTGTGACATTAGAAGTGATGTCATAGATCTAGCCTATTCACACATTGGTTCAGAAGCCTTTTGTCCTCCAGTGATGGACCTGCTTACCACCTGCAACACCACACTGAGAGCCAGTGTGGTGTAGTGGTTAAGAGCGGTGGACTCGTAATCTGGTGAACTGGGTTCGCTTCCCCGCTCCTCCACATGCAGCTGCTGCGTGACCTTGGGCCAGTCACACTTCTCTGAAGTCTCTCAGCCCCACTCACCTCACAGAGTGTTTGTTGTGGGGGAGGAAGGGAAAGGAGATTGTGAGCCGCTTTGAGACTCCTTAGGGTAGTGATAAAGCAGGATATCAAATGCAAACTCTTCTTCTACTCTTCTTCCTCCTTCTCTACTCTTCTTCCTCCTTCTGCTCTCCTTCTACCAGGGCACTTTACAGAAGTTTGTGGATGACCTCTTTGAGACCATCTTCAGCACAGCGCATCGTGGGAGTGCCCTGCCCCTGGCCATCAAATACATGTTCGACTTCTTGGACGAGCAAGCAGACAAGCACAACATCCACGATCCCCATGTGCGGCACACTTGGAAAAGCAACTGGTGAGTGCAACATTGTAGTAGCATCATAGGGTTTGAATGGACCCCAATGGTCATTTATTCCAACCCCTTGCAATGTAGGGGTCAGAGCTAAATAATCTCTAACAGCTGGCCATCCAACCTTTGCCCCAAAGCCTCCAATGAAGAAGAACCATCTGTTCCACTGCTGAACAGTTCTTACCATCAAAAAGCTCTTCCTAATGTTTAGTCAGAATCTCCTTTCCTGTAACTTGAATCCACTGGTTCAGGTCCTACCATCCAGAGCTTGTTCCCTCTTCCATGTGACAGCCCTTGAGATATCTGAAGATGGCTACTCTGTCTCCTCTCAGTCACCTGTTCTCCAGGCTAAACATCCCCAACTTCTTCAACCGTTCCTCATCAGGCTTGGTTTCCAGACCCTTGATCATCTTGGTTGCCCTCCTCTGCACACCTTCCAGCGTGTCGATATCCTTAAATTGTGGCACCCAGAACTGGACACAGTGTTTTCAGATGGGTCTGACCAAGGCAGAATAGAATGGTACTATCACTTCCCTTGATCTGGATACAAGACTTCCCCACCACTCCATATACGTGCCCCACTGCCTCCCTAAAGAACAAGTTGGTTGAATGCCACCCAAGAAACCCCCTCAGTTGTTGTTTTTTAAATGTGATATGCAAGGGGGCATGGTTAGCACCAAGAAGGGTGTCTGATGGAGCCCACAGCTTCCTCTTTGGGGACACCAGCTCTAGGCTGCTTCCTCTTTGGGGACACCAGCTCTAGGCTGCTACTATATTGTGTGGCGAGTTCCCGCCCCCCCAGTGGAAATAATGACACAATTATTAAGGTTAATGGGCTAAATAAGGCCACAACTTTATTGGTTACAGGTGATGAGAGGTATTGGCTTAGGCATTGGTCCTAACCAACTATATCCGACTAGCCCATCTACTTGAAGTCCAGGAAGGGTTAACCACCAGTAGGGGGAGTCCTGCTGATGCACATCAACTAGGAACCTCCCTGAGGTCACCGCTAGGGGGCGTGCCTTAGGCCCTCACCTCCCCAGGCTTCGGACAGGGCCACGCCCCCCGGAATCCTTTATCGGACTACCCTTCAATATGCAGGGCAGGTGATGGCACTTCCTCCCCTCTTCCATCTACAGAACAATACCAATGCCTAGCGGCCAATACCAAGAAAATTGTGACGATTTGCTACCAGGTAGGCGAAAACCAAGTGGCTGGTGCCGATTTGCCAAGTGGAAAAATTCCTACCAGGCCCTTCAACAGCGACCAACCAATGTCCATAGCAAGGTCAAGGAACGAAAACCTTATAGGGTGGGGAAAACCGGAACAGCTGGCAGGCGGCAAAGAGGGAGAGCCCCGGCCGTGTCCTGCCTTAAATAGGGCAGACCACGCCCCCAGAGCCAGCTGATTGGCTGGCCAGGGGGTGACGTGGCCGGGAATCCCCCCAATGGCACGGGGCCCTTGAAGCCCGCAATCCCACCTCCTCTGTAGGGCGGAAGTGGCTTTCCATGGAACAGGAGCCACACGCAAAGATCAGCGGAGAGGGAGGCTCCCTTTCTCACTGTGCCAGTCTGCTAGGAAGTGTCACAACCTTCTCTGCAACAATCCGAAAGACTCTGGCACGGCTTGAGATGCAGGCGAGTGAGCCAGAGGCGCTCTGAAGCATCTCCTCCATGCTGACTGGCAGGCTGTCGGCATCGCAAACACACAAATAAATAAATAAACAAGAGAAACTCCAGGCAACCAAAGAAGCTTTCAGCTAATGAAACATTAGCATATTATTAACATCATCTGTGGCACTAATCTAAGTCTGATTGAAGCCACTCAGACTAAATGAGCAGGAGGTTTATTTAAGGGGGGCGGGGGGGAGGGAAGAAGGTGGGTAGAAGGGGGGGGGCTTGAGAAACAAGGGGAAAAAATGATCTCTTCTCAGTCAGATTCAAATGATTCCAAGTTGGCTTCCCTTGGCTTCATTCTTCCAAGCTACTGCTCTACATATCTTCTGCTACCAGATGCTGGGAGAAGTCCCTTGACTCAAGGAAGATTCGGTAATAAGTCGGGATTCAAGTGCAATTGACAGAAATAGCCAGGATTTTGTTAGGGAAAGAATTGTGTTATCTGGCAGTTCATGGATCTTACATATGGAGGACGTGGGTCCTTTGAAGGTAGCTGGGCAGGTTCGGAACAGGAATAAATTTTGAAGCAGTCACCATCCCTGTTTAGCTTCAAATGGGGTGCACGGACTACAAGGCTGGCAAAGGAGCAGCGCCATTGTTCTTGTTATGTAATTCAATATTACTCTGATATAATTATCATCAGCATCTCGTTTCATGGCAGCTCAAGGCTGCATACATGGGGATTATCCCATTACAGCCAGACAACGAGCTGCTTTAGCATTTGAATGCGCATCTAAATGCACATTTCTAAACGTGCTTCCTCAAAATATGGGCTTTCAATGCATTTTTATCCTTGCTTGCTTGCTGCTGAGCTAAGAACTTGCTACGAAATGTTCTGTAGGTGTGAAGTCTGGCAGGCAACTGTTCATCCAAAAGATGTCCTAGCTGGCTTCTGTTGGAAGTGTGCACCATTAGAGGGTAAAGTCAAGCCATTACAGAGTTAGAGCGCTTGCTATGACTGCAGAGATCCCTACAGGAGAAACATGTTTTCTTGCAGCTGGGGCAGATGAAAGCGCCCAGTTCTTCTTTCTGTGCTCCGTCCAGAGGTCATATCTTCTCTGATCACTGCTAGGGATGCATGACCTGTGGTCATTTGCAAGGATACCCACATAGCAGGGTTGATGTTGGATTGCAATTTTCAATTTACTCACGCAGTATTCCCCATGTCTGCTCACTGGTGCACTCTGCCAGTCATGCACAAGTGGCTTCTGTGCCACAGAGCACCTTGGACCAGTTAAGGCTGATTGGAACTGATGGGAATTGTGGTCCAGGGCATTTGGAGAATACCAGAATGGTGAATCCTGGGCTAGGAAAATGATACCTCTTAAAGAATTTCACTAGCTAACAGTCCGTTTCTGGGCTAACTAAAAATGCTGGTGTTGATCATCTTCAAAGCCTTGAATGGCTTGTGAAGGAGCATCTTTCAGACCAGTCAAGGAGACTCTGCTTAACAGCCCACCATTAATATCCATCAGGTTGGTGCCAATGGGACGCGGGCGTTGCTGTGGGTTAAACCACTGAGCCTAGGACTTGCCAATCAGAAGGTTGGCAGTTCGAATCCCCGTGACGGGGTGAGCTCCCGTTACTCTGTCCCTGCTCCTTCCAACCTAGCAGTTCGAAAGCACGTCAAAGTGCAAGTAGATAAATAGGTACCGCTCTGGTGGGAAGCAGCGTTTCCGTGCGCTGCTCTGGTTCGCCAGAAGCGGCTTGGTCATGCTGGCCACATGACCCGGAAGCTGTACGCCGGCTCCCTCGGCCAATAAAGCGAGATGATCACCGCAACCCCAGAGTCAGTCACGACTGGACCTAATGGTCAGGGGTCCCTTTACCTTGGTGCCAAATATATCCCTTTGTTTTCCTTTGGACCATATCAGCAAGGCTGAGAGCAGGGTCTTGTTGTCTGGGCAGCCCAGGACCTCCATACACACTGCCCAGGCTTGCACCCTGGAAAGGCCACTTCAGTGCTGCAAATCCATCCCTCACTCCTCCACTGTCACTCCCATTTGTAGTTTCTCTCCCTACAAATCTCCCCATGTGTTTGCCTTAAGAGGACAACATGAGACTGGGAACCCCATGGCTTGCGCTTGCAATGTATGGTTCTGCCTAAGCTGGGAGCAGCCGTGCAGTAGCACAGCTCCGGAACTCTTTTTCAGAACGGGGGCAATGATATAACCTTCCAGATCACCAGCGGAACTGACAGGCCATTCTTGCAAGTGAATGAGGTCATAATGCAAGTGAACGAGGTCATCATGAGGCTTTCAAGTGTGGTTCTGGTAGATTAACATAAGGCTTGTCTACACTTTCACTTAACCCGTGCTAGAAAGCATGGGTCCATGTGGTTTTCCTCTTGACCTGGGCTTTCTGGGCATGGATCCGAGCAGTTTTCCCCTTGCCCCACTCCTTCCCCAAGGAAAACTCTAGGGAACAAGTGGGGAACATCAGGGGAAGAGGAATTGTGGATAAGCCTCAAGTCAGAGAATAAGGAGAATAATAAGAGACTAGATATCTCTATCCTCTGAAGGGCTTCAGACTTCATGCCAGCAGTTTAAGCTGCAACAGTTCTTTGCAAGAAGTTTGCATATCTAATTAAAGCAAAAGGTTGCAATTCCATTGGCTGAAGACTTTTTGTTAACACTTGAAAGTGTTTTACAAGGTGAACCTATACAGCTGGAAGTAAGCGAATTCCTCTTCCTTCCTTCCCTCCTTCCTTCCCTCTTTCTTTCCTGAAGCTTGCCGCTAAGGTTTTGGGTGAACATGATCAAGAACCCGCAGTTTGTCTTTGACATCCACAAGAACAGCATCACCGACGCTTGCCTCTCGGTGGTAGCACAAACCTTCATGGACTCCTGTTCGACCTCAGAGCACCGTTTGGGCAAGGATTCCCCCTCGAATAAGCTCCTCTACGCCAAGGATATCCCCAGCTACAAGAACTGGGTGGAAAGGTATGTCCCACCCTTTCTTGCAACACTAGAACTCAGGGCTGTCTGGTCATAGAATTGTATATCTGGAAGAGACCCCCCAAGGTCATCTAGTCCAACGCCCTGCTATGTAAGGGGTTAGTAATAGGTTCAGTTAGAAGAATGTATGTTTCTGCATGAATTAATTTTTGGAATTCAGTGATGTGATGGTGATCATTGGCTAAGATGGTTTCTGAAGGACATGACAATTATATGTATGTTTGTACCCTGCCCACCTGACTGAGTTGCCCCAGCTGATGGTGATGTTATAAATTTACAGACCTACATTGGCTCCCAGTATGTTTCCGAGCACAATTCAAAGTGTTGGTGCTGATCTTTAAACCCCTAAATGGCCTCAGCCCAGTATATCTGAAGGAGCGTCTCCACACGCATCATTCAGCCCGGACACTGAGGTCCAGCTCTGAGAGCCTTCTGGCAGTTCCCTCATTGCGAGAAGCCAAGTTACAGGGAACCAGGCAGAGGGCCTTCTCAGTAGTGGCACCCGCACTGTGGAACGCCCTCCCATCAGATGTCAAAGAGAAAAACAACTACCAGTCTTTTAGAAGATATCTGAAGGCAGCCCTGTTTAGGGAAGCTTTTAATGTTTGATGTTCTATCACGTTTTTATTAGTAGTATTCTGTTGGGAGCTGCTCAGAGTGGCTGGGGAAACCTAGCCAGATGGGTGGAGGAAAATCATCATCATCATCATCATCATCATCATCATCATCTCAGGGCTATTATTATTAGCTCCTCTGGAGTGACGGTCACCAACCTAGACGGCTTTAAAAGAGGATTAGACAAATTCATAGAGGAGAGGACTATTGAGTACAATAGTCCCAGTAAATTGCAGGAAGGGAAAGTGATCTGTTGCCGTCAGCCGAGAGTTTCGCCTTGCTCCTCTTTCAGCAAAGCCCTCCCCTTACATATCAGAAGTAGTAGCTAGAGCATATGTACGCATCAGCTGGCACCTCCCCACAGCAAATTTGCGGGGCAGAGCGGAACGCTATAATAGCATTGTACGATTTCATTGGGCAGTAATAATACTTTTGAGTCTTTGGTGTGTTCCAGATAAGTTATCTTGGTAATCCTTGCAAAAGCCCCAAATGTCATCAGATGGTATCATTTATTATCCCCCATGCTGTGGAGGAGGGGCTAAGCCTGAGAGGGTACTTAAGTCCATCTAGTGGGTTCATGCCTGAGATTAGGTGGAATTGAATGAAGGATTTCCTAGCTCACAGCTCTTAGCAGATGCAATGGCGCCATGTGCTTAAGGAAAGGGAAGAGAAATGGGCATCTGTCAGCTTCGCCTCACTTCTGCCACCAGCTTTACTTCAGAAATGGAAGGAAGGGGCTAAGGGACACTCAGGCCCTCCTTCTCCTGTCCTGCCAGGGCTCCCAGCACAGGAGGCGAGGGCCAGGTTAGTCTCCTCAACCAAAGTGATCCTGGGGCTGGACCGACTCCATGATGAGGAAAAGCTATGTCAGGGAAAGGTCTGAATCAGAGGATTGGGGATTGCATTCTCAGGCAGATCAGCTCCTCTTTGAAGAGGAGGGGGAGGTCCCCCTGCCATTTCCAGCGGTTTCAGGAGTAGAGAGCGACCCAGACACTGAGCAGCTTCGACAGGAGTTGCCTAGTTATGATATAATGGAAAGCGAAACAGAAGGGAGGGAACAGCCAGCAGAGATGTCATTAGAGAGTGTGGGGAACCCTCCCTCCCCAAGAACTAGGAGGTCCGTCCGTATTAGAGAACGTAGAATGCAGAGAGGAGGCAGAACTTCCTGTTGGCGCCCAGGATGTTGCTGGAGACAGAAGGGGGAGGATTTAGCGTAGCCAACTCTAAATGTGGAGAGATGCCGATTTTTGCTTGCAACCAGATGACTGAATCAAAAAGACTATGAAATATAAACTGCTTGTTAATTTTTGTATGTGTGGTGTAGTGGTTAAGAGCGGTGGACTCGTAATCTGGTGAACCGGGTTCGCTTCCCCGCTCCTCCACATGCAGCTGCTGGGTGACCTTGGGCTAGTCACACTTCTTTGAAGTCTCTCAGCCCCACTCACCCCACAGAGTGTTTGTTGTGGGGGAGGAAGGGAAAGGAGAATGTGAGCCGCTTTGAGACTCCTTCGGGTAGTGATAAAGCGGGGTATCAAATCCAAATCCAAGTTTCTGAAGGGAGGGGAGGACAAGGATTTCCCTATCAAAACATAGACCCCTCCCCACCAAACCCCCCCCACCATTATAAGTATCTTGGATAGGTTTGTTAAGGACAATTATTTGCTCTTGTGGAACGACAAAAAATCTGTGACATACTTTCGGTTCTAGGTAACCCTGCAGAAGTAACAAAGGCTCTTTGCCTTTGTTCAGGTGAACATAGCCTGAGTTTGCAAACTCAGCTGTGAACCACTTCTGCCTCTTTCCCTATGCTTGTTTCCCTCTAGTCGTTAAGAAGAAGAAGAAGAAGAAGAAAAACTTGGGTGCAGTATGAAAACTAGGCCATAATTAAGCAAGGTAGCTCCAGAGAGGCCCCTCGGTTGCTAAGAAACTGCCTTTGCAGAAATCGAGGTCTCCGGCCGCTCCTAAAAATAATTATCTGGTCAAATCGGAACCCAGCGGGGCTGCTGGGCTGAGAAGAATTGCCTTTAATATTGACTACAACATGGAAGTCTTTAGCTGCCTTGGGCCTCCTCCCACCGGCAAATGAGTTTGCCTGCGCCCAGGAAAGGAGCAGGCAGCACTTTCTGCACACAGGAGAGAAATTGAGAATTTGTATTGTAACGGACAAAGGTAGCAGTGCAGCGCCTGCTACTTAACCTGCGAGGGCCTCCCCCCTGGGCAGTGGTTGTGCCAGCAAAATCAGGGACAAAAGAGGCCGGTGGAGCCTAATAGGCTTGCATTTTTCTTTTGAAAAACTGCAGCGAAATGTAAAGTGCATTCTAACGGGATAGGAATGCTCAGCAGCAGCAACAGCAACAAATCTTAAGTATTTCTCTAGTTCTATATTCTGGGACGAAACTTCAGGCACATTCCCTTCAGCAGGGCAAAGAAAGCCATAAGTAGGTCATATGGTTGCCTTGCTGTGCTTATTTAAATCAGACATGGGGGGACCTTTTTTCAGGTTCCCTGTGTTCCCTTTTGGACAACCTTCTGAGCCGCAGACCAGTGGCAGGTGAGGCCAGAGGCAAAGGGGGTGGAGGAATTAATGGAAAAATCGCCTCTGTACAGTTGGTACTGTACTACATACAGTGGTACCTCAGGTTAAGTACTTAATTCATTCCGGAGGTCTGTACTTAACCTGAAACTGTTCTTAACCTGAAGTACCACTTTACATAATGGGGCCTCCTGCTGCTGCCGCGCCGCCGGAGCACAATTTCTGTTCTCATCCTGAAGAAAAGTTCTTAACCCGAGGTACTATTTCTGGGTTAGCAGAGTCTGTAACCTGAAGCGTATGTAACCTGAAGCGTATGTAACCCGAGGTACCACTGTACATTCATGCACAGCCTGCTCCATCCAAATGAGCAAGAGGCATTTATCAGGGTTCAATCCAGACAAAATAAAACAGGGAAGGGGTGCAATGAAGGGCCAGTGAGGAGTGCGAAGAGAGTCCTGAGAGCTAGATACAGCAGCTTGGGGGTCTTGAGCTTCCTCCCCCTGATTTGAATGTTTTGGTTTGTATTCAGCCACGTTCTACTCAGAGCAGACTCTGGACGTACCAAAGTCAGTCATGTCCTGCAACTTCAATGGGTCTAGTCTGAGAAGGACTAGCATTAGCTACAACTTTTCATCTCTGGATCCGTGACTGAAAGCTCTTGTTCTTTGGGGCAGGGTGAGGCCCAAGGAGATACCATGTGCAGTATGGCCCACCCACTAGAGAATCTTCTGCTATTCTATTTTATGCAATAAACAATCTTAGTAGTTTTTTTTTTTAAAAAAAAAGATATTTATTAAAAGTTTAACAGTTACAGAAAAAAGAAAGAAAGAGACAATAAAAAGTTACAATACTTCAAAAATAAAAAGCAAAATAAAAAACAATACAACAAAACAATAAGAAAAGCAAAAACATTTAAAGACAAAAACATTTAAAAACACACCCAGTATTTCCATATCTTTGTCTTTCATTTACTTGTTTCATCGACCTCCTCACACCTCCCTTTTTTGTATTCTAATTCAATTAGCTATTTCAGCAAATCCTTTCCATCTTTCTCAATTTTTGTTCTATAATTTATCTTAACACAATCCGACCTTAAATTTTACACTTTGGCCCATTAACAATCCATTTTTACTTAATTCTTTATAACATTTCTGCTAAAACCATGTAGCTTCATTCCAGCATCCAACAATCTTAGTAGTTGTGACCGTGGTTTATATTGTACGTGTGGTGTCTGATGATTTTTATGGTTATTGCTGTTTTTCCTTTTGTTGAAACAAAATAAAAAAATTCCTTCCAGTAGCACCTTCGAGACCAACTAAGTTTGTTATTGGTATGAGCTTCCGTGTGCATGCACACTTCTTCAGATACACTGAAACAGAAGTCAACAGACCCTTATATATAGCGAGAGGGTGGGGAGGGGTATTACTCAGAAGGGTGGTGGGAAGGGGTGATTGGCTGATAGGTGTGTTTGTTAACAACTGCAATTGGTCTTACAGGGAAAAGCAAGGGGTGAGATGGCTAAAAATAGCTATATCATGTATAATGAGATAAGAATCCAATGTCTCTATTCAGACCAGGTCTCTCCATGGTTTTAAGTTTGGTAATAAGTTACAATTCAGCAACTTCTCTTTCCAGTCTATTCCTGAAATTCTTTTGTAATAAGACAGCTACTTTGAGATCTTGTATGTCCTAGGAGACTGAAGTGTTCTCCTACTGGTTTCTCTGTCTTGTGATTCCTGATATCGGATTTATGTCCATTTATCCTTTGGCATAGGGTTTGGCCTGTTTGTCCAATATAGGGAGCTGAAGGGCACTGTTGGCATTTGATGGAATACAC